CCGTGGGTAGATCTCCCGTGCACACATACAGACACACATACACACACAATCCCTCTCCCTCTGTTCATTGTTAGTCGGGGTGGTACAGAGTACTGACGGCAAAAATACGACAGCCGCGGCCGGTCATCGCTGTCGCCCCTTGCGACCCAGACCGTCTGGAGTCTGGTTCGGAATCCCGGGGAAAAACTACCGGAGAAATACGGCGGACGTGAGGACAATCCACTCGTGTCAACAGTGGTCCCGGGGACGGCCTTGTCCCTCCTTCTCTTCCTCCTCTTCCTCACCTTCTCTCCTTGTCCTTCCCTTACCTCGTCGCCTGTGATCTTCACCTCCTTCCCACCTACCCTGCCGGAGAGACGGGCATCCCGTCTCTCGCGCCCGCCTCTGTCGTCACAATGCGATCCAGTATCGCCTGCGCTCGTTGCCGTCGAAGCAAGATAAAATGTGTCAACGCCGGCATCGATACCACCTGCCGCGCCTGTGAATCCTCCGGTCGAGAATGTGTATATCCCGCCCCCGCCATCGGAGTGGGCGGTGGTGCGGCCAAGCGAGACCTGGCCGCGCTGGCCGAGGGCGAGGAACGGAACAATGATTGGGATAGCCCCAAGCGACAACGGTCTCGAAAGGCCCCGGGCATCTCCTCGTCCGCCGCAAAGGATGGCGCCCGATCCGCACTCGACGTGCTCGATTCGGCGGTCCTGACCACCAAGGTCTGGGATGCGGTCTTCGATCTCTTCCAGTCCCACTTTGCGACCATGCTCCCCTTCCTGCATCCTGCATCCTTCATCGGTCAAACGCGCCAACTTTCCACCCCCTCGACCAATCCGTCCACCCATCCAGAGCACTCGCGCGACCCTGCGCAAAGCCCGCCTGCGAGCAAGCCGGATCTCAACCCGCTCATTCCCCTCGGTGTTCTCGCCCTCACGGCCCGTTTCCACCCCCAACTGGTCGCTTTCCACTCTCCACCATCTCCCGGAAATCCTTCCAATCCTCTTGTCGCTTCGGAGTTCTATGCGACGGCGTTGCGTAGCCGGCTGGCCGGCGTCGACGGCGCCAGTCTCGCGGTCACGGACCTCACCCGGGTCCAAGCATTGCTCATGCTGGCGCTGCATGAATGGGGCATGTGCCGCGGCAAGAGCGCCTGGTTGTATGTCGGAATGGCCATCCGGCTCTCCCAAGCCATGGGTCTTCCCTTCGAGCTGGAGAATGAGCTGGCGTCTCGCGACGGGCCCCGGTCGCCCATACTGAAGACGGAGGCCGAGATGTTCGGTCTATCCCGTCGGCCGGTGGAGCCCAGAGAACAGACCTCGGATGATATCATCGCGCTAGAGACGAAGCGTCGCACCTTCTGGGCATGCTTCATTCTGGACCGTTGCTTAAGCAGCGGCAAATATCGACCGCGTATGATCCGTGTTAAGGAGCTGGGTATCCAACTTCCCAGCGATAACGCCTTTGCGTTTGGAGAACGGGTCCGCACGTCCCGTCTCAGTGAGCCGGCTGCCCGCCGCCCGCAATCGTTCGGCTCCCAGGGCGTCCAGATTCCGAGCATCCGGCAAAGTCTGGGTGCTCTCGGTGACGACCGGTTACCGAGTAATGGTGCTCCCGATCCCAAGTCTTCGTGGTCGCCTGTCTCGCGACGTAAGGATTCCAGTGAGGATGAAATTGATCGATGGGAGGTTGGTGCCGAGGAATCCGTGCTCAGTCGGGTGATTCGTATCATCCGCATCTGGGGAAGTATTGCCAAGTGGTCTTGCGCTGGGGGACGAAGGTAAGCTGCCGCTTTATAAAATTGTCCCCATCGAAAGTCTAACCCCAGCCACAGAAACGAACAGTTGCCCCCATGGCACCCAGACTCGCGTTTCTCCCAGCTTCGAGCGATGCTAGGCGAGTTCCAGGATAGCCTCTCGCGCAACTTGCAGTACTCTCCACGGAACACGGATACGCATATCATGTATAAGAACACGCTCTCCCCGTATACGGTCATGCATGTGGTCTATTTCCTGTCGGTCATTGTCCTTCATCGTGCGTATATCCCATTCCTGCCCGTACGATGCTCGGAGCCGGTTGGGCCCTTGGATGAACCGCTGTTCCCCGTCGAGAAGCCCGGTGTGGCAGAGGCTTTCTGGCGTGAGAGCGCTCGGGAGCTCTTCAATGCCGCCCGGCAGATGATTGATCTGGCGGTCACCTGCCAAGACCGCGGCGTCCTGGTCGAAAACCCTCTTGTCGGGTTTGCTGTCTATAACGCCGCTTTCATCGGCGTGTATGCGGCCCATTTCCCCCACATGGATCCGGATGCCGCTTTAGCTCCCAGAGACCGTAACACTCAAGGCCAGGCTCAAGCCCGTAAGGCCCTTGACATCCTGCGCGATATGCGGCTGCGTCTGAAGATGGCGCGGGGGTGGTTCCGCACCCTCAACCGGCTGCATAGTTATTTCGCTAAGGTCAAGCGCGATTTCCGCCGCTCCTCGCGTAAGATGGACATGGATGGCGTTGATGTGCATATGAACGGGGTTCGTCCGGTGCGTGAAGGTGGCGCTGGTGGAGGTCTTGAGGAATTCAAGCTCTTGGAGAAGTTGTTCTTGGAGTTCGGTATCATCGAAGACCAACTGCCTGATAACAGTGCGGAGGATGATGGCCTGGCAGCAGTCAGCGATCGGGCTACCAACCTCAGCGATGCGGGCAGCAATGCTGTTCGCAGCGAAACTGGAGACACGGGCGAGCCTCCACTGGATGGTGCAGGCGGACGCCGTGAGTCTTGGGTTCCTATCAATAGCCCCGGGATGCCGCTCCCTGGCCCGGATGGGGAGCGACGGCCTAGTCTGCCTTTGCCCCCAGGCCGCTCCTTGCAGTCCCAGTCTCCGTACTCTCTACCATCTCTCCAGCACCATCCTGACGCAGGACTATACAACTCCTCTTCCCCCAATCTCCCATCTCTGGGACCCCCTGGCCCGTACGGTGCCCCGCCAACAACGACGGCAACAGGGTCCTCACAGTATGGGGCACCGCCACCCAACAACCGTTTGCAGCCTCTCAATTCGTGGCTGAACAATCGTCAGCAGCCTCCTCCGCCTTATTCGCAGTCGCTGCCGCCCATCAATGCGGCTACTTCACATAGCTTGCCATTGCTGCCCCCACCTGGCTCTGTCGGCCACCCGGGAGCGTCACCACCGGTAACACTTGATGGGCTTGACACGGTCAACACCAACGGGTTGTGGTCGACCAGCCTGGGCGGAGATGATGTGCTGGCATTTTTGGAGGGATGTGAATACGACCAGCTGCCGGCGACGACGCCGTCGGAGGTCGGTGTTCCGGTCGGGTGGCTCAGCACGGTGTGGACCGAGTTTGCCCGCTGATGGGGTGGATACATGCTCCCCACCATTGCATTTTGCTTTTGTTGCTTTGCCTTGATTATCTCTTTTTCCTTTCCTCCATTCTTTGCTGATGATTGAGCGATCCTTCGTCTGTACCATTATTTCTTATGTGCGGCTTCTGTATTGTATGAATATGTATGCGCGCTTCGGCGGACTGACGAGACCACGCGACACTTCTGGGATTGACGCGATGTTTGAGGGAACGCGGGAATTTCTTTTTTGTTTGTTTTCGAACTTCGGACACCTGGTTCGGGAAAAAATTGGCATGCGAGGGCCGGATGGGTTCTGATTGATGCGATTTGGATTTGATTCCCCTGGCGCCCCTGGTGCGGGTGACGAAAGGATGGAATGGGATGGGCCGGGTTTATGAATGTTACTTTGACAGCGCGGCGTCTGGCTGGTTGATTACCTCAGTATGGGAGCATCTAGTACCAGGACATTCTATCAATTTCGTTGCTTTCGAGCAGATACCACCCTGTCAGATGAGTAGATGTAGGCTATCCTTATCTAGATGTCTAAATGCGGGAAGTCGGTGAACTGTTAGTTCTGCTGTGGTAGATAGTAATGCTGTGGATTATTTATCATCTAAATGCTGCATCTTTCATCAAATAGTCAGTGTGGCCGAGTGGTTAAGGCGATAGACTAGAAATCTATTGGGTTCGCCCGCACAGGTTCGAGTCCTGTCGCTGACGTTTTTTTGTTTTTGTGTTTTCCTGGCTCCACCTCGGGTCGGTTTCACGGGAGCTTCAATTTAAGCTCCCGATCGATAGTCAAGTTAGCTAGTTAATCGTCGCTCAACCATGTGGTTTGCGGATCATCGCATGTGACTGTGACATGATTTCTTTGTCTTTTATTTATTTGTCTCAGACTTCAAACTGGTCTGTCATCATCAAATACCAGGATAGCTATCATATTGCCTTTCATTCATGTTGGATTCTCGTGTGTTGTTTTGGGTGTAATGAACTAGACAGGTGGTCTATCTACTAACTAAATATATATTCTGGTGTTACTATAGCCTACGAAGGATACTATGTCAACCGCGTTCCACATTAATGTCCTTCATTAAGTTACGATTATTATTCTAAGTTACTAGAAGTCTTTTTATACTAATGGACAAAGTTTATCGAATTAAAGCATATAATATTGAATTATTACCCCAGAAAAGCTTAATCGCCACGCATCTGGAAACTACTAGACACTAGCGCAGGGACTGCGTGGTTCGGTGCTTATGTGCATGATTTTATCTTATCTGCATATTTATCATAAGAGCAGGATATAATAGACCAGACTACTTCACTAGTCTTATTCATTAAGACTAACTTCATATGTCCCTAGATTAATTTCATAACCATTTTAGGCCGCATATTATCCTCCATTGTAATTTTTCACCGATAGGCCCTCACTATTCTTCAATCCACTTTTATGAGAGTATTCCAGCACCTCGGCAAAATCTCATAGTAATAACCCCCGGATTCCGAACTGTTCTATGTACCACACCCGAGAATTCCTGCTCACAGACAGTCATCCATGTCTCGTAATTCCTCGCCAACCCCAGGATACATACAACCTTGTATCCCCTATACCCAAGCCCCCACCCATTATTTTAGGTAGGCAAATTATATTACCTTCCTACTGACCATCTCGTTGGTTGTCACTGTTGCGACCATCCCTGTCGCGACGCACACGCCGGAGCTCCTCCTCAACCCACGTACGCCGGGCGCTTGCAGCAGCCAATTCTTCAGCGGCGCGGGCAAGCCTATACTGGTTCTCCAGTTCCTCGACTGGCAATAAGACGAGGTTGCCACGAGGAATTAGATCAAGCTGAGGCAGACCACCCCGTGTGAGCAGCCAGTTGTCGATGGCGCTCGAAGGGAAGCGAGCCCGCTCGCGATACGTCGCTTCGCGATGAAAGGGAGAGCGGGATCGCTGGCGAGCAGGCCAAGGAGGGAGGACAGGAGAGGGCGGCCAGCCGGTTTGCTGTACGAGTTTTCGACCTTCGGAGTTCTCAACGTCCACCATGCTGACGTCTTCCTCGATGTCCCTTGATTGGCTTGTGGACTTAGGAAGTAGAGCGAATCCTCTCACTATGGCCAGTTATTTGATGAGCTGGACGATGGGGTAACTTTACCTGTGGTGTCTGTGGAGATCAATGGTTCCGATTGGTTCCAATGTCAGAAACGATACTAACAGGATCTCCGGACGACGCTGTAAGAAGGATCATCGAGAAGATAATCAGCTTAGGAGAAACCCTTCAGACCCTTAGGGGGCGCGGCCGAGTGCAGTTGTCATCGGATCGATTTATTGTGCAATCCACCCAAGCATTCCGCTAAACAGGTAATCTTATCCTCTTGGACCGTTAAGCCAACGACTTTCCCATCGTGATGTGACTTCTTTGGCTCATTTCATAAAGAATATAAAACCAAATATCTGTCCCGATTATCACCAGACCTACCAATATCGTACGAAGTGCTTTTTCTTTGGCCTAAACGGTAAGGTTCCCAACAAAGACCAGAATCTAACGTTCCCGGCTGAACTCTACATTGAGCCGTTGCTAGTCGGCAATTGAACCAACACTGCTGGAATTTCCCGATACCTTCGTCAGCATGAAGATGACCATGGGAGCTTCTTAACTCTAGGTAGGATATATCAACAATTAGTAAAATTGCCACACACCCCCACGAATGAGCCTTCCGACCAAAGCTCGCAGACCCGCATTCCGCAAAATAAGCATGACATCTTTTGGACGAATATGTTGACCATCATTCGTCCGATAGGCGAACACGTTCTTCAGAAGGTGCACAGCCACCAGTACCTGCGACTGGTAGGACCAAGACCAATTACCATGGGCAATAAGAGCAAGGCTGATCACATTGATGAATAGGCGGCGAATTCTTACCACACTTTTCTAAGTGTTGGAACAATTCTGCGAAGATTTCAAAGACGTTCGTCCAATGCCTTTTCGACTTGCTGTACGCAGTCAGCATAGCGAGAATAATTAACTTGTTATGACAAATTTTCGAAGTGAAGATGTCGAAAATGTGGCTGTGATTGCGATAGTTGGTTAACAGCATTATGGATGAGAGAATGCATTTTATAGGCTCTCCATCAAGGACCTCTTCAAATACAACGCGCCCTTCTTGGACGTTGTAACTGATATTCAAGTTAGCAGAATTAAGTCCAGATAACAAATCAAGACGATTGCCTTAGTCGTTGGAATTAGAACAATGGTGGTAATTTCGTCTTCCTGGCACTGACTTGCCTTATCGCAAGCTCCTTCGTGCATTGCTGGGTAAGGGCCGCATGGATCGAGAGTATATCTAATCTAAGTAGACTGGATATTTTAGCATATTCAAAATAAAAATGAGCTGTTCATCTTCCCGAAGAGCAAAAGCCACCGCAGCATGCTCGAAAGGTGAACGTCTCAGAACATTATGTGACGCGATCTTAAACATCGAGTCGATAAATATTCCATCCAAGACGCTAACGACACACCATTCGTAGCCCCCCTTGATTCCCTTTTGGTTCTAATTAATTCATTATTTGTTGGTCTGCTGCAAGTCAGTTTGACAAAGACCCACCGTACTTGTCGGTGATAGCGTGGCTCTGCGGTCTCGAGCTTGAGGACGTGAGCTTAAACATCCTTTGGCTAATTAGATCATCATTTATCTGTCATCTTCTATTGCCATATCGAGCTTAAATCGTCGCATGCGGAACCGGACGAGCTAGCTACGTCAGCTTCGTAGTCGCTCGTCCCGGTGGAAGTCTTTCGCCACTGCCTCAGCAAGATTATCCTCGCTGTATTCCCATGCATGGAATCAGCTCAGAACGCAAAAGTTTCATGTGGCGTCGATGAACCTCCTTCCTTGAGCATCCACCGCAGGTGGATTCATCGTTTTAAATACCGTGAATCTGCTTATGAGGAAAGCAGTATCCGTTGAAAGATCCTGAGCATTCAACGCAGTCATACTTTATTGGACCCAGTAACCAGAAGAGTCTTGTAATCAAGAGCTGTCATTGAGCAGACAATAACATTGGTTATACTGAGTATTACATTTCCCGGAGGACTTGGATCAGGCTAACGCCGCAGACTACCTCTATCTGCAAAGTAATAAAAGCCTCTCGGTTAGCATCGTCAAGTGTGACAGTCTCCGAAATGTGTTACAGCCTCTATTGCCGAAGCTTCGGTATCGCAGTCACTATTTTCTGAGTGTCAAGGGAAATTAGCCACCATTACCAGCCTCGAGCTCGGTTCCATGCGCAAGAAGTGTGCGCCTTAGCGAGAACCCCTGATGAGACCTTCTTTATTGGTAGGCCCAGTTCGTGGTTCAAACTTCTTATTGTGGCTTTTGCTTTTGCGATGTGAAAAGGCAAAATGTAGCGATGATATCATTGCGCCGTACGTGACTGGAGGCGCGTAGTGGTAGATCGTCTAAGTCGTACTAATGTACTAGCGAGGTTCTTTAGCGATTCGCCCTCGTGTGGCGTGCAGAAAGTCAGTAAGGGTATGCTTATTAAACTCGCTTAGTTTGCGCAGTAGTTCGTATTCCCAACTGATGTGTGCTTCCTGGAATGATCGCACTTGTTGTTCTGCATTGACTTGGGTACTAACCAAAGGAGCGAGGTATGACAAGAAAGTATTTCGGCTGAGCTAAAGCTCGGAAACGCGGTCAGTGTACGGCGGCATCAGCTAGATGCTTGATTCCGCTATCGTCTGTCCATCGGCTGTGATGATAATCACCAAATCTGCCTGCGTAATTGTCATCTAGGCGTCCAAGAAATTCTAGTCAGCATATGAACGTGACAATGTCTAACTTTACCTCAATCGTTGCACGTTTGGGATAGTGTCTGTCACCTGGAGGACAGAATCGGCAATAGAGTCACTCTGAGTGACGGCTCTCAATTCGCTTAGTTTTGGACATTTTCGCATGAAGTAGTAGATTTGCCACGAGTAATTTGAATTACATTATGATGCTCTGACTCTTGAGATCAACCCGGTCATGTTCATGGGAAAGGATACACATATCTACGGCCGCAATAGAAGATTTTAAAGTGGCTAAACAACCAAGACAGAGGCTGGTGACTGACTGAAACTGACATGTCAGCTGTCACGCTCGCTTATCTCTTTATTAATTGTGTGTTTAGCTGCAGTATCGACTATCCAAGTACATGCGGCCTTGTGTTGCATCACATGGTGATTTTAGCGAGCCTGAAGGACTCGACAGCGTCGAGGATCATATTGTTGTTTCAAACAGTGAAGCACCCAGTAAGACATCCTAGCAGGCCATATCATATGAACTGTGTCGAGTTGAAAACTAAACCGTCGTGCGGCTCCGCTGTCCTGAAAGTGCCGTGCCCAAGGATGCGTACTATTGACAGCCCAAAATCAATATCTGTGCACCATGCCTCATGCCGCCAGGTGGGATTGAGGACCCGATGAGCTACCCCTGACATTGTGGAGACGCCCTCATTGGCGAGACCATTATCGTACCCAGGCTTGGTTCTCTGTTGAGTGGATGCATCGCCAACCAGGTTCTGTCGATTTTGTAGGGGAGAATCTTGGCTGCGGGTCCATCGTGCCGCAAATGTCTGACAGCGCGGATCGGTATGCCATTGTATGTGGAGCCCATGTACCAGAGAATCCTTTGGGATGAGTGTCCTGCAGTCACTGATTGAATTCTCCGATCGAAAGTCGCCGACCTTTAAGATCATGTCATGGCAAAGGGCGAGCTCGAGCTTGAGTTTGGCCTCGCGGGAGGTGTACCGAGGAAAAAGCTGAAATTTTTTCTCTGCTTCTCGCCGCGGTCATTCTTTGAGGTCGTAATATGAAGAACACGCGGTCGCTGTCGTCGTTGTCGTCGTTGTTATCATTGCTGCTGTTATCATCGTTGTTGTTGTTGTTGTCATTGTCAGTGTCATTGTCGTCATCATCATGATCGTCGTTGTTGTTGTCGTTATTGTCATTATCGGTATCGTTGTCGGTGTCGTTGTAGTTGTAGTTGTCTTCGTCTTTGTCGTTGTTATTGTCGTTATTGTTATTGTTATTGTCGTCGTCGTTGTCGTTGTCGTTGTCGTCGTCGTCTTCGATCGTCGTCGTCATAATCATCATCATCATCTTCGAAGAACACCAGGCGGTGGGAACCCACGCAGAGCCGTGGGAGATCGTAATGGTGCTCGGTGGCATTTGATTCTGAACCATGGCGACAGTTCCACAATCCTTCTCATTCCCAGAGCTCGTAATGCACCAGACTGTGCGGTCTAACTATCCAATCCATCGCGACCGTAACCACCTTATAGCTATCTCTATAATCATGGGAGATAGCTAGATCGCAATCCCACCAGTCGGAGCTCTTGAGCGTACTCCATACTCGTTAAGCTGCACACCCAATGGACTTAGGATCTTGGCACACGTCAAAGCGCTTGAGCATCTTATGCCATTGGAGTGGACCCTGCCGACATCGCGACTGATTTCTTCTCATCACGTTGATATAATTATTTGTGTCGACTGTGCCAGAGTCCATAGCCAGGAAGATTCCCTGGAATTGGCAAATGACCTGTCACGGCCCTTTTTCCCTGGGCTGATGGATATGAAAGGCCATCGCGTGCGAATGCGATGCTGAGTTTCCCCGCCTGTGTAATTCCCGACCAGTTGCGTGACTATCAGAATGGATGCACGTCATGCGATGGAGTGGTACTAGAGATCTAAGCATAGTCGCTGTTCTGTTGGTGTTGGAAGTTGCTGGCAATGTCGTTGGCTAGTCGTTTTCAATAGCGCTCATATCCCACATGTCGTGTCGCTTTAATACACTCTCGATATATTGGATGTCCGCCCGAGACGAGATAATCTCACGTACGACTGAAGAATTGTCGAACACTCTGGCTTCTATGACGGCGAGGGGAATCGGTCGGCGATCTTTGGCTAAGAGATGGCAAACTTTGGCGTCGGAGGCGGAGCGATGGCGACAGACGGAGGCGATGAGTTCAGTCTGTAAAAGCCAATGGTTAGATGCCATGTTTGGCTGGAAATAATAGTTGGTGATGAACAACCTACCGGTCGGCAGAGAAGGAATCCAACCGAAACTCTCGAAGAGAGCCGGCAAGGGATTGTAGACCACACTCTCGAAGAGAGGTGGCTGAAATCATGTTAGTCAAGTGCTGGGCAATATGGAAAGCAATTATACTTACAACAAATTAAGTGAAAACCACACTCTCGAAGAGAGGCAGCTGGAAATCATGTTAGTCAAGTGCTGGGCAATATGAGAAGCAGTTATACTTACAACAGATTAAGTGAAAACCACACTCTCGAAGAGAGGCAGCTGGAAATAATGTTAGTCAAGTGCTTGACTATTCGTCATAGATGGTAGTGTACTTACCAGGGGTTAGTAGAAGACCACACTCTCGAAGAGAGGTAGCTTGGGGATTCATATCAGCCAAGTTCTGGGTGTATCTGAAAGACAGGAGCGCTTACAACGGGGTTTAGCAGACCATCGCCTCTCAAGGAGAGGAACTGATAATATGATCAGTAGGTTGACGCGGGATAATGCATGTGAACAGACAGGTGTACTCACCGATATCTGCTAGTATTAACCGCACCCTCAAGGAAGGTAGCGGCTGAGGATATGAAAACCACATTCTCGAAGAGAAGCAGCTGGAAAACATGTTAGCCAGGTTCTGGGTATATCTGAAAGACATAAGTGCTTACCAGCAGGGTTTGGCAGACCATCACGTCTCGAAGAGAAGCGCTACCATTATAGTCAGTGCATTGTTATGAAGTCTTTTTTGGCAAAGGGACATGTGTACTCACCGATATCTGCCGAGATATACCGCATCCTCGAAGGGATAGCGGCTGATACTGTTATCAGCAGGTTGATATAACAATTCTTTGGAGACAAAGTGCTCACCAAACGTCTGGGACCAAAGAACATAGGAAAAAGACAAGACCCTCGAAGAGAGCTTGAACGAGTCCCTCTATAGACGCTCGGATGAATATATCGTACTCTCGAAGAGAGGCCGCTAGCGCCTGTCAGTACAATGCCATTTACCCTTAGTCACTGGAGGCTCGTAAACATACACAGGGAAAGCAACAAAGTGAAACTCTCAAAGAGAGCCTTTTACTGGGTCAACAGGAAGATGTGAGTGTCGGACCGGACAGGAACGCTCACTAAACCTCGCCTAAATAGACCGCACTCTTGGCGAGATGCGGCTAAGACATGCTGTCAGCCAACTAAACTCTATAAAAACTTCGAAGAAACTGCCTGTGTCACGTACCACTATTATCGAAGAAGCCAAAGCGACCGACGCTCACGAGGAGCAAGCCTGCCTCGCGAGCAGTCATGGTCTGACTGTGAACCCGATTTTCACGGTTGTCTAATCAACACGCGAAACCGGGAGAATACCCCTCTGGGATGAGGGTCGTACCTATACAGTAAGTTAGTCGGCTTCTTACTAGGACACAGCAGAAGGGTGAAAGGAAGGGGAACGAAATCGGAGTCGAAGACGCGATGCTCAACAGAGTAGAGAGAAGAAGGGAGAAGAAGGGAGCATGGAGAAAGAAGAAGAAGAAGAAGAAGAAGGCGTAAGCGAGATGGAGTATGTCTGGTTTGCTGCCCCGTTGCCCTTTTCGGTAGGGGGCACAACACGTGCTCTCCTGCTCTCCTCAAATACAAGGCAGTCACTTACTTGTCTGAATTGGGAAGAAGTGTTGTATTGTGACCGGGCAAATACTCCATGAGGTCACAATACTGAGGACTACCGAAGTAGCAACATAAGATTTGAAAGACCCTTGTGGCAAACGAGTGCTCATCATGCAATACTTTGAAGAATCATCTTTACCGAACATAGTGCCTTTTACCAAGAAGGTAGACGTGTTCTCTGATATACCAGCGCCTACAGCAAAGAACATGACCAAATGAGGAATATTCGCTATGAGAAACGTGGTATTGAAGTATAGTATAGCTAATGTAGATCATATTCATGGGGACTAAATGGCAATTTAGAGCTGGATACTATAAAGATTTGAGACTTTAGACATTCGGAAATTGAGAATTTGGAAATATTATGAGATATAGAAAGGAAAGATGATGAAGAAGGGAAGAAGGTTTGGGAGGAAAAGTGGCCGTATTTATATCCGTGGAGAGACGGTGACTGGCTTGCTTACAATGGTGAAGCATGATGCTTCGTGTGAAGGAATCTTTCATAGAATGCCCCTGCATTGATAGTATCCTACCTCATTACTGCACTTATCGCATTAACTCAGGCCCTACTACCTCTTCATCTGATTATATTCCCCCCTCCGCGTTAGCTAAGAACAGTATCTTAGTATGCTTCTGAGGAATCATGTGTCATCGCCGTCTCCGATATACTAACGTGGCACTATAACATCACCACTATCTAACTGCGCTTATACCACGGCCGAGGGAGATTGGAAGCCACGTAAATTGCCGACTCGATAGGGATTTGGTAGACTGTGATAGCAAAGCACTTGGCACACAGGTTTACTTTACTGCAGAGCCATTCAATTCTCAGTTATTCAATTCATGATCAGAAGAGATCTGGCACTGTCGGGCTTCACCCAGGAAGGCTTCACTGTAGTCAATCTTCAATGTTCCCTGCTACAATGCTTCCCAGAATTCATCCCTACCAGGGCCTTCTCCTCGTGCCGTATTTCGATTCCACGTTCAGAGAATTGGGCAACTTGGATGAGCCGAAATACAAGTACTGGACACACCGAACAACTTAGAAGCGCCAGAAGAATATCCCTGTGAGAATTTGTGAAGAAGACTTGTCGGTTCATCATATATGTTGAGCCTCGTCTGAATACTGCTGCTTCAGCTACTATGCGTCAATATCCTCAAGATCGGCATTACTCAGCTGGCTATAATTGCAGACAATAGATTGTCACCTCACCCATCCGTAAAAATAACCAGGTGCTCTACACTTCCGCACCCATCAGGATTCGATCACTTTTTTTCTTGACGGACTTCCTAGCCAGCATGGCTCCCAGCTAACGCGTTGGATAAGAGAATTCCATGGGACGCCGTGTCTGCTTGCCCTAAAATCTCGACATGGGAAAGGCAACCTGTATGCTCCGCATGCAAAAGGCATGCTGGGTACACCTACCACTCGCGATTCTTGTCAGAATGGGCGGCGGAGAAGCGAAAATCTCCATCCATATATCACTGTTCACCGCGAGGCTGAGATGCTGTCTGTAACACTGACCCTAATGGTGGCTAGTGCTTACTGTGGGGATGTACTGATGCTTTGGCTTTATATCATTGATCCGCAAAGAACTGTACCGCAGGTCGGTTCGACTTCAACCAATCACCCATGCAGTCTAATTTGAACTAAATTAAGTAGATAGCTCAGACGTTGGAACAAATCCCCACTCGTGCTGTTTTGTGCCTGATTGCCGCCCTGGGATTTTTCACCCCATCGCCCGCATGAACTCTCGTCATCATCCAATTCATAATCTTTTTTACTCCATTATCCGACTCCTCTACCACCGCACACTCAGCACAATGGCTCTCATTGCAATTGTAGCCCTTTTCTCCATTCTCGTAAGTTTGTGCCATTTCTTCCAAGAAATACGCACAGCATATCTGACAGCCACAGTACCTCACCACCCTCATCATCTACAACCTCTACCTCCATCCCCTCTCCATCTACCCAGGTCCTCTGCTCTGGCGCGCCTTTCGCTTCCCTTTCATCTACGCCAATATCAGTGGTCAGCTCCCCCATCGCATCCGGGATCTTCATACCCAATATGGCGACATTGTCCGCGTCGCCCCCGACGAACTATCTTTCCTCGACCCCCGAGCCTGGCGCGACATCTACACAGACCGCGAATTTGTCCGTCCACACCAATACAAGGACCAACCCCCCGGCAAGACTGCCGCGAACTTGATCGCATGCTCGGAGGAAGAGCATGCCCGTCTTCGCAAGAACCTCGCCCCGGGGTTCTCTGAGAAATTTACCGCGTTGCAGGAGCCGATTGTCCAGAAATATATTGACACACTATTTAACAAGCTCGATGCGAAGATCTCTACTATTGAAGGCGAAAAGAAACGTGCTGACGTGGACCTGGTGGAATGGATCAATTACCTCGCCTTTGATGTGATCGGCGATCTGACATGGGGTAGCTCATTCGGATGTTTGGAGGGACTGCAGTATCATCCGTGGGTACAAACAGTTAGTCAGTTCAAAGCTGCTATTATCGTCGGATCGATGAAGTTCTACCCCCTGCTTTACCGGCTGCTTCTGGCAATTACTCCTGCGGATGCGCTAAAACCTGTCATGGAGATGTGGCAAGTCACAGACGAGAAAGTCGCACAGCGAGTGGCAACCAGTTCAGCTGGTGCTACTTCAACCACACACCCAGATTTCGTGGGTACAATGATAGCGTCAAAGGCTATGACGCAGGAAGAAATGGAAGTCAACTCGATGATGATTGTCGCAGCGGGAAGCGAGTCAATCACCACCCTTATCACCGGTATCATCAATTACCTCCTGCGAGAGAAGGACCAAAAGACCCTACAGAAATTGGTGGACCTTCTCCGCCAGACATTCTCCACAGAGCAAGACATAACAGCCACTCGGCTCAAGTCTCTCCCATACCTCGATGCAGTCCTCATGGAAGGCATGCGGCTTTGCCCCACTATCCCGGACGCGATGCGCCGACAGGTCCCGCAGGGTGGAGCAACCGTAGCCGGCCAGTTTGTACCCGAGGGAATGATTGTTTCTATCCCTCCGTTTGCCTCTTACCGCGCGGCACGGAATTTCACCCACCCGAATGAGTTTGCGCCAGAAAGATGGTTAGAAGAAGACGAGCGGTTTCGTGGAGACAGTGCTCGACAGAAGGAAGCGTTTAATCCGTTTTCGTTGGGACCACATAATTGTCCGGGACAGAATTTGGCGTGGATGGAACTGAGACTTATTCTGGCGCGACTTTTATGGAGATATGATCTTTCTACGAGTGTGGAGTTGCCGATTTGGGAAGAGCAGGGGATATGGTGGTTCTGGGATAAGAAGCCGCTTGTTGTGAAGGTTCAGCGTAGTCATTAAGAGTTTTGTTCTACGTGCACTGTGCTTAGGTATGGACTGACTAGAGTAGAGGCCAAGGTTTATGGGTTAAGATCATATTATAATTATTAACTGGCACTATACCTCAAGTATGGCAACCTAATCCAGTATCCTTGTCAATTGGACCTTCTCCTACTTAATGTGATAATCCTGTAGCCCCTCAAGAGCTCCCAGCCAAGGCACTAATCGGCGTCACACCAGGGAAGAACGACGCCGGAATGGTAGGAATCGGGATCGAAGCCGACGTGCCGAAAGCAGTGGCCAAATCATCAGTCATAGTGGGAGCCTCGTAGCCCGTCGGAGCAGAGTTGACATAAGTAGTGGTAGAATAGGGAGTCGTGGTGCCAGTAGCAGAGTCTAGGCAGTAGCCGGATCCGTAGGCGTTCTTGCAGACATACTCATCGTAAGCACCTTCCTCAACCCAGAGGTCGATCTGGACGAGGCTGATCTCGGTGCAAGGGGTGTCTTCAGGGCAGATGACCCGGATAGGCGGCCGGGTTTCGCCGTCGACGGCGGTTCCCGTCCAGTTCTGGAATGTGATGTTGTGGTAGTAGATGCCGTCACCGTCGATTGCATCCATGCTGCTCCAGTAGCTGTCGAAGTCGAGGGAGTAGGCGTTTCCGTGGCCTATTTCATCATTAGGATGTGTGTTGGGGAATTCTAGAGAAAAGATAGGGTTAGGTACCAATGAAGTTCTCAAAGACGACGTTGGATACATCGCCCGAGCCACCATTGCTCTTGATCATCATCATCTGGTTCGAGTCCCAGGTGTAGACATTGCGGTAGACGATGTTGCTGACGTTGGCGCCAGAACCGAGGGATCCGATGGCACATCCGCCACTGGAGTTGCAGTAGATGTTCTCGATCAGGAAGTTGTGGGATTTGGTCTGTTGCGACTGGAATAAGTACTTGTTGGCAGTTGCAAAATATTGTTGTTTACTGACCTTGGTTGTGACACATTCATCCTTGTTAGTGACCATAATCTATCATATCGTTAGCTTAGCTGAAAACAAATTGAAATATGAGGGACAGCAGTACACACATCGTGAATCCACATATTGTCACCATACACATCGATACCGTCCAGACCACCGTGGTCGGCACCGCGGATAGCCATATTGTACACCTCTCCATTGTAGCCGCCGTCAATGACGAAGTGGAACATAGGCGAGTCAACCAACACCAGGTCATGAACAGACCAGTCCGACACATCGGAAATGTGCAGCATCCGGGGACCCGTGTAAGTACCATCACGGTGATAAAGATAACCGCTACCCTGAATAGCACCCGTTGCGTTTGAACTGAAGAGCTCAAAGTCACTGCCACCGCTTATCTCGAACATGTATGACTGGGAGGAAGGCGACGAGTCGCGGTAGAGGACGCCATCGAGCTGAATAGCCCAAGCAGAACCATTCTTCAGGGATACCCAGTTTTACAGAAGATAGTCACCCTCAGGGACGTAAATGAGACCACCGCTACCGCAGTCAGCAAAGGCGTCGATGATGGGTTGTCCCACGTCGGTGGTGTTGTCTGAGCTGGCTCCGTAGTCGAGGACATTGCACGTCTTGACAGCGGCCTTGTCTGAGACGGAAGTCAAGGGTCCAACAGATCCTGTGAGTTGGGCGTGGACAGAGTTGGTGATTGAGAGGAGGTAAGTTGCCACGAGAAAGGAGGTTGAAAAGGTCATGGTGCCAGTTGTTGAAGGAATTGATGCTCAATGTAAAATGAGTGTGATATATCTCATCCTATTTCTAGCGGGAAACATCACTCCACTGGTCTTATACTATTTCCTTCGGACGAAAGAGCTGACCTTTCTCCGATGACCGACATGAACTATGTCTGCAAGCCCCTCCCCATGAAGCAGGAGACCCTGGAAAAACAGTTAAGATGTCGCAAAGCTTCCATAAATTCCACCAACAGAAGTGTCACCCTGAATGACATTATGTAATGACCTTTGGACTGCTGACGGATATCTTGACATGGCATGACTCGCCATAGGGCGAGCTGACGCAAGTCAACGTTGCCCTACCCCTGTCTCCACACGGTTCGATATTAACTGCGCGCCGATCTTTCCAGATGTTGCTTAAATCGGCCTGTCATCACCCGAACTGCACGGGCCAAGGGATAAAGTCCTCGGTATTATTGTGGCTATAGAGCCCGAGATGAGGCGTGCTCTCAAGGTAATAATATGTCTCTGCGATTAGACGGCGTGTGGACTTGTCAAGGTCGACATGGGCATTCGGAGGAACTCGAAGCAGAGTCCGAAAGACATACAGGAATGTTGGCGAGTATCTCCACCATGGATCGGATTGGACCCTGCTTGGCTCTTAAGCGAGGAATGGCCCACCCACCGTTTGTGTCACGAACACCTAGTTTAGTTCCTCGGATATTCCCCTGGCCATGCGATATCCTGTGCGCGGCACACCCCCACACTAAGGTAGTAGCACCCTGCTGAGTGTGTACCGTAATAATGAAGAAAAGACAAGCCATAATTGGCTGCTATGGGCTTTTGCAATGTGGTGGAGTGCTCAAGGCTACATAGGAGAAATGATAAATGAGTCTTCGCTTTTTTTAGCTCTCTTCTTGCCTCACAATATATTAAAGCACTGGTTCATAGTCGAGCTTAATATAGAAGCCGTGAAGGGATTCGGACATGCTTACCCGATTCGGCCAGGGGTTGGAGCAACGGCCTTGGCTTCGGCAGTTCGGGTCGAGTATGATTCCGTGCCCATGAAGCTTCTGAATACCGTCGATGACAGAGTAGTACAAATCATGATGATGAAAAGAAGGAGAAGGGAAGCGGGTGCTGCGGCAAATGCCGCGTCGGAAGAATGTGATGATGTTGTTGGTGAGTTGTCACGTGACCTGCTTTATAGTACACTTTAACATTGAATGTTTTCCGTCACTGTCAGCTGTATGACGGCACCGGAATTCTAAGTCCAACCAGCAGTTGGGAGTGGTATGAAAAGAGATCCTAATATGAAGGTAAAAACCATTGATCTAGTGCTACCAGAGTGTTTCTCTGGTCGAAAAACAGCGATGTAAAATTTCAAAGACACCTTTTGAGAGTATCCTACGGTGTACATCATAATGCAAGTCTTCCAGCTTTGTCTGTGACTAATTAGAGGTCCACTTAAGAACCTTGTGGGTACTTTTGGGAGGTATACAATGTCACTGTAGCCCCTTCATCTGAAAGACTCAAGTCCCGTTCAATACAAGTAGAGGTCGAAGAACTCATTCTTGCCTAACTATGGGTGTCCATGGAAAATCATCAGATTACAGACAACCCCGAGATCACGCACTAGTCATAGCTTAGTCACCTCATAGATTTCATATTCTTACTTGGATATTGCATCAACTTGAGCTTTCACATAGTAATCAGACAAATGTTCTGTCATATAGGTGGCCACTTACGATAGTGTGAACTAACACCCCTCCCCAATAAGGTTCCTAGCACTACTAGCAGACCGCCGTCTACTTATTCCCACATCATCACCGACCATCGCACAAATTTCCAAGAAGAGGAATTCAATTAGCTCCTGTGCCTTTTTGTCTTCCCATCATGGCCGAAAAGGAGAACGCGCGCGGTATTTCATCACTTCCCCAGGAACTCTACGATGAGGTGAATCTTTTTTGTCTCTGTCTTGCTATCGTGACTTGCTAAACATGAATTAGGTTACGCTTTTCTTTGCAAATTATGGCCTAGAGGCTGAAGACCGAATTGCACGGTTGATGTGCCTGCGCTTAGTCAGTGCGTCATTCAATCGAAGCGCCACTCGAGTTCTGTTAAGTGCAGTACGCTTGAGTGTGAGTCGCCTATTAGAGACGCCTCAACTTCTCCACGTGCAGTCTCCGAGCAGCATAAAGTCCATATTTACGAGCGACCTCCGTCGATTCATCCGCTCCCTCACAATTCTTTCCTCTGATTGGTTCGCTAAGGCTGTGAAACGACCTCATAACAATCTCTATCGATGCCTTAAAAGACTCCCTTCGTTGCAGTACTTTGAAATTAACTACCGCAGCAAATACCCGCACGCAGTGGTATATATGCTCTGGGCCCTTGAACGTGCGCACCGATATCTTCCCAAATTAAGAGAAATCAAAATCGATTTACCGGCGTACAGTTCACCCAAATACCTGGCCCCCTGTCTCCGCAGGCTCGAGGGCGTCCTACGGACATACCTGCCTCAACTTCAACACATCGATATCACGTTTGTCTCTGACTTTTATGAAATCATGGACGATTTCATAGACCAAGATTTCCTTCATCTTTTCCGCCTTGGCCGTGGGCTAAGATCTATCCGCCTAGTGGGTATCAGCACCTGCGCCAACTATCCTGAAATCTATAATCGGGAAAGTTGGCTGCACCCAGACGCTCCAATTGAGCACATTGAACTAGATGAATTTACTGCACCATTCGAAGTTCTAGCAAGGATTTTCAACTATGAGAGAACCTTGGTAAGTCTGGACATCATCAGAGTATCTCTCTCGACGGGTGAATGGAGAGACTTTTTCCTAAAGATCCGCAAACTCCCGTTGTTGTCACATCTGCATATCTATAGATTGAATTATGCCGATGATGGGATATATTTGCCCCAAGGCTTAACCAAAAAGGATGAAGATGCTGCGCAATCTGCTCGTGAAATGACAAAGAAGAGGAGCGAAGCCTTTCCCCGGGGACAAGTGAAAATGATATTTCCAAGGCAAGCCGCGCGATTGAGCAAGCATGGTCTTCACTTGCACTGAGATGCACTTTGGATATGCTACTTGCTCTACAACTTTAATTGAACTTTTTTACTTCGAAGGAATAATGTTGATTTTATCTTCTTCTAACAACCCACTTGGAGTCTACGTAGGCAACTAATACTATTCTAGTTCTGTAGGCTGTTTGCTGCCTGTGCCACGAATATACGAATCCTACTAGCTTGGAATAATACACGACACACAATACGCGAGTCAACCAAACTACTACACATATCAAAACTAATCATATCCCAGCGAAGATTATATGGTTGAACTTACATACAAAGGTTTTTTCTATTCGATGTACGGTTTTTGCCGACTTGCAAGGTTATTTGTGAACGAAACACCCCCAGGTTGATAAAGCGTTGATACTCTGGGATTGCGTTTCTGGAGGCTTCATCTCTAGGCCTACCGATGCGTTGAACCTACGTATATTCATATCATGGTTCTGCGAGAATTTGAGATGAAAATAAATCCAATGCTCAATACTACGTATTCACTGGCTTCTGTGGGCTCATTTATGAAACTGTGTAGTACCGACAAGTACTGCATCGATATCAACTATAGACCTCACCAAACCTCCGAAACAGTTACCAATGAACACCTCCTCGCCCCCAGTATAACAGTCACCCTAACCCCAACCCCTATATCTTAGCCCTCCCCTTCCCCTCCCCCTTCCCCTCCTTCACCCCCATCCCCTCCTCAAACCGATAAACCACATCCCCAAACGACCCCGTCGGAAAGACATAAAACCACTCCAACGGCTCCCCACCCCGATTAACAACCCCATGTTCGGCATCTCCGGGAATAAACACGACCGTGCCCGCAAAAACCTCATACTCGTTCCCATCGATAAACACATGTCCCGATCCCGAAGTAATGTAGTATATCTCCGCTTGGGTGTGCCGGTGGCGACAAAGATGGCCTGTGCGTGGAGGACATACCGCTAGACCGGCGCACATGTCGGAAGTCGGTGTTTGGGGGGAGGAGAGGAGAGTGCGCCATGTTAGGTGTCCGTGGGCGGGGTTGGGGAAGGATTCGGGTGGGAGGGAGGTGATGGCTTGGCGGTGGTGGATGACGGGGTGGGTTTTTTTGGTGGCCATCCTAATTTGTTTGGTGTTTGAAACGAGAGTTTGAAGAGGGAGGATAGCGAGCCAAGTTTAAAATATTGGGGAGTTATGATATAGAGTGGAGTAGCTTCGTATGAGTTGTCACCGGAGGGGTTCGGAGATAATATGCAGGTTTGATGCATGTTAGGGTAGTATCGTGCTTCCGAGAAGATGATTTGCTCTGTCCTCGACGTCTACGCACTATCCGTCTTGGGAAACGGGCTAGGCGAAGGAACAATTGAATTCCACTAACTGAACGTATCTAGGGCACTATTAATAGCTCAGTTACCCCTCATACACTATCTTCTCCGCATCAATGGATCATTGATTCGGCGACCAGTAAACCAGACCAAAGATCAACACATAGCGTCATAACCCCGATCGGAACCTGTCGGCTTGCCAGTTCCTTATCATTCACTGCAGCCGCATACGAGACTGTAACTACAGCCCCGGTGAGGTTCGCTACCTCGCCCACGATAGCTGCAGATCGAGCCGCACCAGCCTCTTCGCTGGTGAGTTCATACAAATGGTACGACGTAGCCATCAACTTGGGAATGAGGAGAAGTGCCTTGAATACAGCACCCACCGCCCGCCCATCACTCGGTAGCAAATCGGGGAACTTGCTCGTGGTAGCCGCGAGCTTGCCATAGACGGGTGTGAATCCAAGGAAGCTGGTGGCAATATCGAGTCCAAAGCAAACGCGTGAAAGCACCTTCATACCAGAGTCCTGGATGGGATCTTTGGGTGCCAGGAGGTTGCTGGCCCCCACGCTTGCCACAACTATGAGCTTGATGACCGCTACCAACCCGCTGAGGGTGTTACCCGCTGTGGGTGCCTGGGCCTCCATGAATAGGGCGATGTTGCCGATGAACAGTACCATTCCGCTCATGGCATTGGCGGACACGTAAATGGACTGCTGGGTGGTTTGGGAGAGCGCGCGCGGAGAAGTTACTGTTGACGAAAATAGCTGTTCCAACTCGTCCCAACTGCTGGCTCCGATGAGAGCAGCAGAGTTGTCATCGTCGGGGAAAGGTGGTTCGTTGTTTATCACCTTGTACACGACGGTGTAGGCGACAGCTCCAATCCACATAAAAATATCCAAGAAAGAGATATCGGGGACTCCCAATAGATTCAAGATTTCGGAGATGACGGGGATATGGAGCTTGGTGTCCAACAGGGCCATGGCCTCATCGGCAAAGCTTTGGATGAAATCAATCAATGCATCCACAACTACCTGTGCGCTCGATAGCACGCCGTCCACGAATATACCTGCTAGGCGGCGCAGTACCTCCTCGATACTTAAAGAGCTGAAGTCGGTGGCCAAAGTCTTCAGCCGACTGTAGAAATCTCCCAGAACCTCCCCTTCTGCAGATAGTGCGTCCAGCAGCTTAGTGACCAGGTCTTCAGTCACGCTTGCCGAGGGAGCGTCACCAACGATGGAGAGGTCGCTGGCATGGTTGCGGAAATGGGAAGACAAGAGCTGTGAACCCGATGTCTGGCCCTCCGCTGGATTGGCGCTGCTCCCCGCCGCCGTCTCACTGGCAGGGTCCCCGAGTTTCGACCAGTCCTCGATTCCTGCCCAGGAGTTGACACTCTGTTCTACAGCAGACACGCTAGAATTGAAATCAGCCTTGATTTGGGACAACTGGCTGATCTGGTCTCTGGTGAACAAGGTAACGATGTTGTGTAGGATGTTCTTGGTACGCCGGATATCGTCCCACTCAAAGAGAAATTGGACGAAGCGGATGATAGCCTCGATAGCTGTTTTGATAGCATTGAACAACCATTTCACAGCACCCACTATAGCCTCCACAGTATCCAAGACCGCCGCATACACCTCACCGGCGATATGTGCGACAAAATGCCAGGCTTCAGTCGCGGCATCCTTAATGACTTCAACGATGGCTTCCACCCCAGTCTCCAACCAACGGAAGAGATCTCCAGCAGCCATACCAATCCAGTCAAAGAGACCCCGACCGTTGTTTCCAGGGCGTCCTTGGTAGTAGGTGGCTGGGACGACACCCCGGTTTTTGACCAAGGCGCGCGTGTCTCCACTCTGGATGCTCGACCAAGTGGTGCCCAGCTGATCCATGGCTGCTGCAGTAGCCTGCACGTCACTCTCTTCAGCGGCCGAGTCGACCAGCGATGTTGTCTCGGTTGACCCGAGTACACCTCCCGCAACAATTTCCGTCGGCACCTTAGCAGCACGCAGGTTTTCAGTGGAGTTCAACTGGGAGAGCTTCTTCCAGGCCGTGTCCAGTGGGCGGACAACCAGCGGGGTGGTGCTGCTGTCATCCACTACCTTCACGGTCAAAGGGGTACCTTGAAGGTCTTCCGTGGCTTCGATCACCGTCACAGTGCCCATGGCGTCGGTCTTCACAATCACCGGAGTGTCGCCCAGCACGTAGTAAAGCCCGTTGATGTAAGCGGGTGTGGATGTCTCAGCGGAGATGGCCAAGGACACTTCTCGAGCGGGCATCTTGTCTGTGCCAACTACCTGCACTGTGGTAGTGTAAGAGTTGAACGAGAGCGCAGGTTCCGTAGGTGCAGTAGCAGCCAAAGTGATGCGCTGAGGTCGCCATATGCTACCAGCCGTGCTGGGTTTTTGCACGATTTTTTGAATTGCGCCCCCTCCCGCAGCAAAGACGGTTCGACCACCATCGGCAAGGTTCACGTAGGGCGAAAGGCGCTCAATCCCCGTCAGGAGAGGGACTGGTGCAGACCAAGCTCCCGGAACCGATAGCTGTGTGTTGGGGCAGGTGAGATAATAGACGACGTCGTTGCCGTTCTTGCCCCAAAGAGTGGTCACCCCATCATGCATCATGGCGAATAACGTATCGGTACCGGAGAGAAAGTCGTTGGTAACCAGGGCGGCGGGAGCAAGTCCTTGTTGCTGCGCTGCGGTGTCATAGAGATAGAGGGTAGCACCGCTAACTGCGTACAGTTCGGTGCCACCAAACTGGTCGGAGTCGACGTCGGCATCACGGGCAACTGCAATGGCTGTGGGGTGCATGTCGCTAGGCAGGCTCAGGCGGGTAGGCTCCGGAGGCCCATCCCCATAAACATTTTCCAGAGGCACATACACCAGCTGTGATGACTCTCCCGCCTGGCCACTGGTGTAAACTCCGTCAATACGTTCGCCGTGTATGCGACCGACGCAGCTCTGGTACCGGGTCTCCTCGACGTCGACAGGAATGTCTGCCTTGATCCAGCGAGAGCCTTCGTCAGCGGTCGGATGGACGACATAGCGAGTGATGTCCTTGGTGGCGGCGTCGCCGCTCACGCGCTCAGTATCAACGATGATATACTGCTTTTCACTGAATACCTCGGCGAAGAGCATGCCAGTAATGATGAGGCTACTGGACGTGTTATCAGATGACGATGATTCTGCATCAAAAGGGATGGGGCTCCAGATAGGGGAGCTGGTCCACGAGGAGTCAGAACTGGAGTTGAGCAAGGAGACAAAGAGCTGGTCAGTTCCGTTTACAGTGGCTGCCATCATAAGACCTATGGATCCATCCATCGCGCTTTGGGCGACATCGAAGTCGCGCACGACAACATTGGCCTGGTTTGGGAAGGCATTCTGCAACGTCTTGGTGGAGAGATCGCGCAATTGCCAGCCCGTATGCGTTGTGCCGCTCTGCTCCTCAAAGACATGCAAGACTCCAGCTGTATCAAGGGCGAAGACCAGACTTAGGCCAGCTTGTGTCTGTAGCGCCGTGAATTTACCCGTGGGCGAGACTAGGCTGCCAGCCACGTAGTTCTGCATCAGCTCGCACGATGCGCTCAGCTGGTGAGAGACGTCCTGGCTGGACGTCAGCGCCTTGCGGGCAGGGGCAGCCTGGGTGCTTGGCTTCACATATGTGATGTCGCAAAGCAGGTCCCCGTAGTTGGAGAAGCGAGGTTGATGGAAGGTGAAGACCTGCGCCCCGGGAAACACAAAATTTCGCATGGGCTTAAAGGAGACCTGTTGGAGCTCATCGGCGGCGAAACCGCTAAATGTGTCCTCGAGCTTGTCAAAGACTTCATTGATGCTGGTGAAATAATCGATAAAGCCATTGACACTCGGATCAACAGAGTTATTAGTCTGTTTGCTGCTCTCAGGCACCAGCTGCAGATTGCCGGCCTGATCGACCGATAGGGAATATGTTTCCTCCAAGGTGTAATCAGCGATGTTGCCGTCAGTTCCAGAGCTGTCCACCAGCACTTCGGCCCAAATCACCGCGCGCTGGACAATATGGATTGTGTTTGTACCCTCAAAGCTAACATCGCAGGTATAATTGCTCTTGACCCAGAGCTTGGAGTAATATAAAGCAAGATGAGCCGAGTCCAGCTTCTCGCTGCTGAACTCGAGATGAATAGCTTTGCTGTCGCTGGCATCGGTAAAGACGGTAGCGGTCTGGGGACTGTAGCCGGCCACTATCGAGCAATTATAGTAAAATTCGGGGTTCACTCCATTCCAAAGAGCATTAACCGTGAGCTTGTCGACACTCATACAGGCGGGCCGTACCATCTCCATCAGGTGGTCCTTCAGGTATTCGGCAAAAGTATTACGATTGATGGCCATGACGCCACTCTCGCTATCAACATCAGCGGGTGCTACCCAGTTCCAGGTGAAGGGCATTGTGGCTGGTTGTGTATGGCCATCGGTTGCGCAGAGGAAGACTAGGGTCGATACCCTGCTATCGCTGTCGTTCAACGTGAGCTGACGCTCAAGGCTGGTCACGGTCAGTGACCCGCCGTCGGCCGGCTCAGCCGTTGCAGTCACAGCTACCAGTGGAATGCCCGCGGTGTCGTCGGCGTAGAACTTGATGTACGACTCGTTCAGTACTGTCTGGGCTTTCTCACCCACGCCACCGAACGATGGAACTGTTTTGGCTTTAGCAGTCGCCAAGTCGAACAGTAGCTGTGATAGGCTAAAGGTTGTGCCCGACAAATTTTCTAGCTGATCACGAAGCTGCTGTTGTATGGCAGGGTTTTCATTGAGGTATGGAGTATCGAGGCTTTTATCCAGTTCCTTCTGAACCAAGCTCACCTCCGTCTCGACATACCATGCCTCATCCCTTGGCTGGCTCCAGACCTGCCACTGGCCCGCGCCCCCAAACCCACTAGCAGGCGAGTTCTGGATCACGTCACACTCTCGGAGGAACATGTGGAATGTTATGTCATTGATACTGCTGCCAAATTCGACGACCGGCTTCGGTAGGTCCTTGGGTAGGATATCTGGTGGCAGCCCAAGCTTCATCCGGATTCCCACGATGAACTTGGCTTTGGTAGTGAGGGCAGTGATGCGAGGATCATCGTAGTCGGTACCATCGGGGATGTCGAAGGGGCTATAGCCAGACTGCTCCTTAACATCATCGAGACTGATCTCACCGACGATGTTGGCATTAGCGTCTGCATGATAGCAAATGTACATCTCCGGTAAACTGTCACTATCCAGGTATTCAAGCAGGCCTGAGTTGATAGATGCTTGAGTGGTGGACACGACAAAGTCATACCCATACTTGCTGGTATCTGACAAGTATGAGGCAGACGCTGGATCGGAACTCATGATGGCAATAATATGGAGCGCTGCGCGCTTGAGTGAGAAGGATAGAAAGGGATTTCTGAAAGGTTGTTCCTTGCAATGATCAGCAGAGGATTCTTACTCCCTGCGCTGACTTGGGGTGCGATTCCACGAGCTTTTATGTCCCAGCTACAGCACTAGCATCGCATACCCAGCTATGTATGTTCAGATATCTTGGTTTTGCCATCACAGTTCCCTCATCTTCCAAACAGGTCTGTAAACACCAACTATCCCCTCCTCTCCGAGACACATGTCTGACCATCTCACTAGCAAACTACATACCTGTTAGCGATAGTTGCCACTCTGGGTCGAGCTGAATCAGTATCCCTGTCAATATGCTCTTAGGGTCTGAATCCTCATCTATAGTGAGCATCATTATTGGTCCGCGCTACTTTAGATGTGGCGAGCTGCATTGGGCCCTGTCCCTTAACGGTCAAACCCCGAGAGCCGCTAATGCACGAACCCCTCAGCTGAAAAGCGTTGGATTCGCACTAGGAAATTTTCTCGCCGAGTCATGCGACTGACGACCTACCATCAAATTTCTAACTGGTTACTACTTAATAAATATGAACCACGCCCGACTCAGCCACTGGGTTGCTGATGATATTAACTACCCTCCTTTCCCCCGTTACGGTCCCCACCACCTCCTCACGATCGGCCGTTCTCGCTTCGAGGAATGATGCGAAGGCACTTTAGATGACGCTGAAATTAGCTATGTGCATAAGGATTTCCTTGGCATCGGGAAACCGTGCTGCGCGCGGATATCATTTCCGCACGGCCCGGAAGATCTAGACTGCATCCCCATGGGTTACTGCCGTCCCTTCCATCCCCAGTCATACAGATGTCCAGAACCATTGGACGGCTATACTGTACAGCTGGAGCCCTAGTGCTCATATTTTTCATATCCAGTGGGACGATCACTAGTTGTAAGCGATGTAACCATTTCTCAACTGATATGTTCCAAGCAGATTGGCCACATAGCGGCAACATAAATGCCAAAGTTGGCGAACCACACCTCACTTGGGAAGTGATAATAGACATCAAAATGGGATTTCCGACATGATGCTAATAGATCCCCCTCTCGGTGGCATGCATTAGCTGTTTACAGGATCTCACAAATTGCACGCCACCCTTTCAACACCGAGTACGCATTAGGAACGGGGCTTCTCAGCTAACGTCAATATCGCCACTGCCATGGAACAGACGTTAATCTGGTAGCAAGGACACCGGTTGAAGAGGTGGATCTGTAAGTTATGCTCGTTTAGATTAAACAAGCGGGGTTCGAAGGAGCAGACTACCATCTTGGCCCGGTGGACATTACTATATTGATTATTGACGTCACTCAAGTAAACAAGTATCAATGTCTGCGAAGGCGAAAGTGCTCTAGGTTGCCTATAGCATCGAGTTGCATCAACACTGCTCCTATCACACAAGGAATCGATAGATCTAAATGAAGCACATCCGCCCATTCTCAGAACACATACTTTATGCCTCGCATATATCACATCTCTCCGGCTTCACCTCACATTCCAAACCAAAGGATCAGGCGCCCCCTCTGCAGTGAATGTCTCAGCATGTATTATTCCACGTATTCCACGTAATCCAATGGTAAATTACGCCCCCCAATTCTGGCTCAGTGACCTTCAATATAAACAAGATCTGGAAACCCCACAGTAGGACAAACCTGGGTGGTCTAGCGGTTGACCTTTCGCGTCGGGCCTTACATGGCACTCTGTGGGAGGGTCCCGCGTTCGATCCGTATCGGGACCTTGTCTTAGACTCTGAAAAGTGTCGCCTCTTTTTTCTTTCTCCTTCTCGTTCGTTTACGTGTTGGTCTATGGGATCATGAGGCCTTCCAGAGGGACTCAGCTTGTTTATGTTGCTCTTCTGTTGTTGTAAGTGATCTCACAATTTGATGATTTTGATCTAAAATGATGCTACCAGCAAAATTCCGCATCAACACGCAGATCAATTCCTACCATGATTAAAGTTACTTGGGCTGACCCGGATGGTGTAAGAATTAGGTGCCAAAGTTCCTTCCCATGGAGTTTCCCGTCTACAAACACCAAGGAACTCTAAAGTTAAGGTTCGCGGTCTTCTGACCTCGTATATATCATCCTATCAGATCCCCAGGCGGTACCCAACTCTATCCGGACCATGGTCCAGACTAGCTCCATCCGTGTGGAAAACTCAACCGAAGGTATAATTTATAGTGGTTCGGAGCGTAAGCTGGTTACGTAGCTTCTCATAAATCGCCTCAACGTTAGCTACGGGGAGACATATCACATCAATAGGAAGATTGTATGTGATCGGATTAATTATTTTAGCTTACTGTGGCAGAACTAGTATGGTATCCGTACCCAGAAAGAGACATAATACAAAGAACGCCCACTTCCATTGATCCATTTGATGTCAGATACTTAGGATGGAGTAGGCTACAACGAAGAAAGACACTTCATAGTTGTGACTTGGATAGATCATGTCTCAGTGATGCTGTAAGCTTGCAAAGGACAATGTTGTAGATACGGGGCTCGCAGATAGTTTGTGGCTGACGGAGTCCATTGAATACTAATCAGAAATAGAAAGAAAAAGAAGTAAAGACAAGGAAAGGAAGGAAAACAAAAGAAAAGAAATATCAGGTGCCAGTGCAAGATTCAGAACGTCCATCCTGCTAGGAGCAATGGAATGATTCGAAACCTGGCTTTTTTGTGAATTATTGAGTGCCAAGATTCCCATTCATCACTTCGCTCCTTCATCGTCTTAGCAAGGGTTGGTTATGAATGATCTCCAACACAGCTGCCAGATCAAAAGGCGTAGGCATCCAATATGGCTCCCGTCTTAACCAAATCCTCATCCTCGACAACTAGCCAGCCTTTGCTCTTCATTTCATCCACCAGCTTCCTCTGCTTAGACGAGGCCGAAGAACGATTAATCGTCTTAAAGGAAAGCTCGACAATGTAATCAGTTCTCTCAGCCAAGGCATTCACCATGTGCCAAACCTCAAGGCCGATCGGCTTACCATCCCACGACCCGGAGTAGCGATCAACATGAATCGGGCCATGAATGACCGACCGCTGCAACGCGTAAGTACCCCAGTCATGAAGTTTCCAATGCTTGAACTTGTTAGGCGCTTTCGCGATCAGCAGCTGCCGCAAAGTATCTGCTTTAGGGAATTCCAGTTCGTTGGGTAGAAATCCATCTAGCTTCTTCTTGGTGGTCATTGAGAGCATCTTTTGTTCGTAACCCCATTCAACTTGTGCCTTGAACTCCCGACTGTCACCAGTGGGCTCATTGTTGAAACCCTGCAAGTTGGCATGGATGAGAATGCTATCAATATCGCTGTTCGTGATTGGGTAGTGATGTCTGTACGTAAATTCGACAGCACTATCGCCTTGAGCTTTGCGGGTGCTAACGCTCCAGCCGGCCCCGAACATTTCCTTGGTTGGGGTGTCGAGAAATTCTATGATCTCCATGGTGGGGCTCGGCTGCATGTTGAAGGTAGATTGGACGTCGGTTTTCAATTCAATGCTTGGGGTGAGGATCTCGGCTGGTTCGAGAACGAGTCTGATTTCGTAGTCAGGCGCCTTGTTTTGTGGCAGTATACCTGACGGGCGCAAGTGGCTCATTGTGACGGATACTCGGGGGTGACTTGGTTTTAGTGAAACGGTAGTTGCAAACGCGGTGCAGTAAACAAGGTGCACGAAACGGGGTGCAGGAAACGGGGTGCAGGAAACGGGGTGCAGGAAACGGGGTGCAGGAAACGGGGTGTAGAAAACGGGGTGTAGAAGTGGTGGTGATAGCAAAGCTGGATCAATGACAGTGTTTATATGTGGAATTGAAGCGTAGTGAATGACCAGTGTGAAGCATGGTATGAACTGTCAGTGGAAGCTGCACTTCCCGTTTTTCTGGGCATAAATGCTGTGCATGTTTGCATTCACTGTATACTCACTTTTTTCCTTCTAAAGTGGCCGCCATCGGGAACTGGGGCATGCCAAGGTCACCATGCAGTAGTAGCAGCGCATTACTTCACGGCTCCTCCCGAGCCACAGACGGCTGAGAGGATCTTTCCAGTTCCCACATCCCTCCCATGAGAAAGGTTTCCATTAATATAGAGGTTGGATAAAGCCTGCCGTGATAAGAGGTTTACCGGGCAAGAGTTGTGTTGGCCTCATATTTGTATGGATGAGGACCCAGTGAGAGTCTCATGAGATGGCATTCTCCATGATGGTCTCGAGGAGGTTGATTGGTTCCTCCAAGCCTTCAGACATTGAGTGAACAAATTCTATCAAATATTCGTCCTATAGTAACACCCGACACTTTTGAACGCAGTTTGTATCAGTGAGGCCAGGTATATGCCGGATATTTATCAGTACTGTCACAATACTAGCTTAGTGGGGCCGTTGCCAACCCTGGACTAGTGTTGTGAGCTTAAATTCACAGGGTGGGTCTCTGCCCCGCTCACCCCGCCGGATCCGAGGTGCAGCTCGCACGGTCGGCATCTCGCCCTCGGGTCGCGGTCGGTCTCGATGAATCTACACCACAGACCTTCTCTTCTGACAGGTTGGAATACGAGAATTAGAACATATACTACTCTACCGAGAGCTTGTCTTTACGCCATAATTAGGATGACCTCTCACATACCCCACTTGAAACAAAAGCTGAGTACAAATAGCGACACGGGGAAGGCGACGGCAGCAACGATCTGAACCTACATCATGGCAGTAGTACTACTACTAGTACTAACTGACGATTCGGGTGACTGAAATACAAATCAGAACATTTTGCCAGTACCAAACCATCATGCCTGTTCCCCACTACGGTGTCTGGGCTTGTCGCCCGTTTGACTACTACGCCGAGGGCCGTGGCCAGCCCACGCCACACATCTACCTTTACTTCAGAGATGACTCCTCTGGCAAGCGCACTGCTGCCATCAACGTTAAATCTAACGGCAAAGAATCTCGTCTGGTCTACTGGGTTGATAAAGACTTCACCCATCCGATGACCGACAAGCTCGACACCCTAGAGCTAGGATTCCACCTGATCCAAGATCCCAACAATACCCATAATAATGGTAATCAACATCGCCAGCATGACCACCGCCACTTCCGCTATGATCACTATACTCCACAACACGCCGATCTAGAGGGACTTGACTTCTACCGCACAAAAGGCCTCGTGAACATTCTTGCCGGCGAGATCCTGAAGCACGACATCGACGGGCCTGACAATGACATTCTGGATAAGCTGGAGCCCATCATCCAGGAGGCTATGAATGATAAAAAGGCCACTGCGTATATATTCGGCGCGTCGTTTGGATCTGGAATCCATAACATTCATATGAACCAGGGCAGTCTGCCCAAGTATGACAATGGGATTTACTCGGATGGTGGTTTGTTGTTCAAGTTCTCTGATGGGCACTGGGAGGCAGTATTCCTGGCGTTTGCTTCGCAGAGACTTCCTACGGGTGATGATGGGGAGGCGGAGAGAGGTAGTGAGAGCTTGTTGCAGATTATTCGGGAAGCAGTCGGGTCCTGAGGTCTGAGTGATGCTGATATAGTGTCTGGAATCATCTTGAAACAGACTGTTACGCAATACTATGGCTCAGGTGCAGTTCTATCAAGTACAGTTTCATTTGTCGTTTTGCAACCGCCTACACTCGGGCTTACTACTAGTGAACATGTCTGCTCAGTAACATCTCAGCTCATATGACCACAAGTGCATTTAGTGGCCTGGGCAGAGCTGTATGTTAGCGAACTTCGTAGGTATCACTATAAATGGTAAATGAAGTATTGTGTGGTTGACGGAGACTGCCGGGGTTATTGTCGATGGTGGCCAGGAGAGTAAACAAAAATATGTAACGTCACCGAAAAAGCTGACAAGTTTAGACCACGGGGTATTCAGCTTGCTGTTTGCGAAGATTGTGTTTGAGACGACTATCAGCGATCCGTAGATGCTTCCCTACATGGACAGAAATAGTAAGGTGGTTTTGTAAGCCTATTTACTGATATGAACAGGCGAACAAGAAAATCATCAAAAAGATTTATTTTGTTGAGTGCTGCTGGGAAATTAGGTTTTCCTGAGCAAGCGGGCCGAAAATCGGCAAAAAAGAAAGCCCAACGCGGGGCTCGAACCCGCAGCCTTGAGATTAAGAGTCTCACGCTCTACCGATTGAGCTAGCCGGGCTAGTTCGGTGAAAGGCGTTGTCCAGAAAGGCTACATATGCCTTACGGAGGGTACCTGGTAGGCGAAGAAGAGATTGACTTGGCTTTGGCACGTGGACCATTCACGCCCCTGAAAGCGATGGATACATGCTGCCTCAATATACATAAGGGTCACGAAAACAACGAAATCCTACTGATGTCAATTCCCTTCAGCTCTCGTTGTAAAGTGGGAGTGTGCGCATGGAGATGACTCTACCTGCATACGCCCATCGCAAACTGGACTGGCAAGCACATATCGTTCTCGCGTGAACTGGGAATATACCTTGATGTCGTTTTGAATCTGACGAGCATGTTCTTGGCATGATTTCAGCTGGATCGTGGCCCTCCATGTGCCATGATTTCCATCAAAAGCTGCCTGCATGTTTGATTCCACATTGTGCACACAGACCGCGAGTATGGCCGAATAGACGCCGAGAAATCCCTCCGCGCTCGATTAATGCACACATAATACCTTTTTATTCGATTGTTCGCGGCAACACCGGAAGGTGAGACATTAATAACGCGATATGTTGAGGTCATGAGGGTTACTACCCATCAACAAGAATGACTGAAAAGTTGTAGTCAGAATATACATGGCAAACATCGGATTACTCGATAATGGCGATGATACCGGACCGACCTGAAATGAGCGCTCGCTTAGACTGCAGCAATTATAAATTGAACTTCTAGTGCCCTCCATTCACTCTTTCAATGTAGCACAACCGGTTGACCCATTCCAAACTGCGCCCGCCATGGAACTCAATGTCGACGCCATAGAGCATGGCAACCCTCTTGGCTTAGGCACTTCGATCATCCTGCTTTTATTTGTCCTCATCCTTCTCCTTCAATGTAGGGATACACCCGTCTCGCTGAACGGACTGCCCCTGATCAATGGAAAGAGATGGTTCGAATTCGTCGACTTGTTCGCCAAGAAAAGGTTCATTACAAACGCACAGGATCTGCTTAAGGCTGGACTGAAAAAGGTAGGACATCCCCCATTTGCAGTGTTTAATGGTTATTTGACTGCCTCAAGGGAAGTGTATTCAATATCGTCACTGAAAATGGGGTCATGATGGTCCTGGACCCCAGATACGCTGATGAGATTCGCAACATAAAAGTACTGAGCCTCCGAAAGGCCCTAATAGAGGACACGCATGTCAATGTCCCCGGGTTTGAGCATCAGAGGCAAGGCGTGGAGGATGATGAGATCTTCCAGACTACTTTGAAGACAAAATTGACTCGGAACTTGGGTGAGTTCTTTTCCAACACCTGTACCGATCAGCGACACTGAATTTAACAGAGAATCTGAATCCGATCTTGTCTCAGGAGGCAACGATCGCACTGCAGGAACATTGGACTGATAACCCCGGTCATCCACTCTGACATCCGTTATCTGTATTTCAATCTGGAGCTGACCACTGCCAGAATGGCATGAGATTCCTTTAAATCAAACCATTCTCAAAATCGTCGTTCAACTCAGCTCCCGGGTCTTTCTGGGCGATAAGATCTGCCGCAACCCCAAATGGCTACGAATTTCCGTCGACTACTCCGTCGATTTATTCCTAGCGACCTTTGGGTTGCGCATCTTCCCTCGATTTCTGCGCCCCTTCGTGTCCAAGTTCCTGCCATCTTGTCGAAGGCTTCGTGCCGACATACGAGAAGCTCAAAGCATCATGGAGCCGGTCATAGAGGAACGTCGAAAGGCCAAGGCTATCGCTAGGCAGGAAGGGCGAGATCCAGAACACCATGAAGATTCAATAGAGTGGTTCGAGGACGTTGCGAAGGGAAGAAAGTATAATCCTGTCTCTACGCAGTTGTTGCTGTCCACTGCGGCTGTGCATACCAGCTCCGATATGCTCACTCAGGTAATGTACGATTTAGACGGGCAGGAAGAGCTAATTGAATCACTGCGAGAGGAGGTCAAATCAGTTTTCATGAAAGATTGGGAAAGGTCCTCATTGGAGAAGCTGAGGTTAATGGATAGTGTGCTGAAAGAGAGCCAGCGCTTGAAGCCAATCAGTAGCGGTATGGAATCTCCTTGCCTTTCTTTTCTCACCCCTGCACCGCAAAAGCGTTCCTTGTCCGATCTTTCCCGCCTTGATCTGTTCTTGGTGGTTTCATTAAGAAGTGTCCCTAAGCTAACATATCCACTACCAAGTCTCCATGCGCCGCATGGCGGAAGCTCCTGTCACCTTGTCTGACGGCACCATCATCCCGAAAGACTGCAAGATCATTGTCCCTTGTATCCGACAAAGGGACGAGAAGTACTATCCTAACCCTGAGACTTTTATCCCCGATCGCTTTCTCAAGCTCAGAAGCGAGCCTGGCCACGAGCACACCGCATCCTTTGCCAACCCGTCTCCGAATCATTTGGGCTTCGGACTGGGTCGACACGCATGTCCGGGAAGATTCTTTGCGGCGAACGAAATCAAATTAGCGTTGTGCCATATCCTGATGAAGTATGACTTTAAAGTTGTTGGGAAAAAGCCCGAGAAGATAGTATTTGGGACAATGTTGGCGGCGAATCCAAATGGGATGATTGCGATCAGGAGGCAGAGCGAGGAGCAGATTCGTCTGTAATTGGAGCGAGCTCTGGCACCTGAACACTTATGTTGGTTTTCTGCGTACGCGATACTTCTAAATATATACTCCTGCTCAAATTTGTTCTCATCTGCCCTGTTAGCCTCGTCTTCCTACCCCTAAGAAACCCCGTGCTCCGATGACCACTCTAATGACCAATCACCGGGGATGGACTTCACGCATGGTAGCAGATACTGCATGCTGCAACCTCTCATGGACCAATATGTCGTGCGCGACAGGACCATCACTATTTTTCGATTTTCTTCTGTCGGTAGAATTAAATATTCACCGAGGCCATGTCACAAGAAGGGTAGGAAGACTCGCTCGTCAACCACCCCCACTTTATTAGGCATTCAGTAAGAGCTTCGAGGGGCGTCCAGACTCAATGGAAACAGCGTTAGCAGTCACGAAATTATCAGCAGCGGGCACGTCACTGCTGCCTCCAACTCATAAGTGGGCCTTGAGTGCAGAAGAAAGAGTATCGTTGTGTTTTACGGTGGATGTTTGGGAGGCGGATGCTAATAAGTCTGCGAATCGCTAGCGGGGTTTTGGGAATAACGCCATCATGCCTGCAGCTGAACTCATCCACTAGCAGCTAGCCACCTTGGCGGCTCGAGAGAATTTCGGACGGAAGCCGCAGGGATTCTACGAGACCACTGACATATAAGTTGTTTCGTCTCGGGCGGAAGTTGATGGGTTGGATGATTTGGATTTTCCGTCGAAATGGGCCGCGACACGATTTCCCAAGTGACAGTCGAGACGGATGCGTCTCGCTCTCGCGATGAAAGTCCCAAGGGTGGCGAGAGACTCTCAGTCAACGAAAACCATGTACTTCAAGAACGCAAGATTGGTGTGCTGGGAGCCATCTCTTTGGTAGTGAACAAGATAGTTGGCGCTGGGTAGGTCCATGGTCCCGTCCAGTCACTCCGCCATTCCAATCTAGATATTGTCAGTTGCTAACGGCGAGTAGAATCTTCTCTACACCCTCAACTATCTTCAAGCTCTCTGGCAGTGTGGGCTTGTCGCTGATACTCTGGGTGGTGGCCGGTATCATCTCCGCCTGTGGTGCCCTGGTGATGCTGGAATTCGGCAGCGGGATGCCTCGATCGGGAGGCATCAAAGTGTATTTGGAGCGATGCTTCTCTCCGAAGCAGATGCAGACTTGCATCTATCTTTTCTTCTGTTTGTTCTTACAGGTCTCTGCGAGCAATGCGATTACTGCCTCGGAGTATCTCCTATCAGCTGCTGGGGTAGACTCCACGACCTGGAAGGAACGAGGGCTAGCAATAGCGGCCGTGTCATTTGCTGTCGGCGTCCACACCTGTGCTCCCAGGCTCGGGCGCGCAATGCAGGATCTACTGAGCATGGTCAAGCTCTTCACATTACTGTTCATCGTGTGTACTGGATTCGCAGCTTTGGCTGGCCATCGGCGCATCCCTAACCCTCACAACTTTGACCTGAAGACATCCTTTGAAGGCACTTCGAAGAATGGATATGACATCGGTACGGCTCTGCTGGACGCGATATTCTCGTACCAAGGGTACGATAACGTGAATGCGGTCCTTTCCGAAGTAAAGAACCCGGAACGCACCCTCCGCGTCGCACTCCCATCCGCCATGGGGATCATCACGGTGTTGTACGTTCTCGCCAATGTCGCCTATGTAAGTCTTGCCCCCAGCTGAGGTATACTAAGAATATGGTGACTTATTTCTCTTTTTCATTCCAATAGTTCGCTGGTGTGTCCAAAGAAGAATTCCGATCAGCCAACGTCACTATTGCTGCCAGCCTATTCCGCAATGTGTTCGGCGAGACAGCCGCAACGCGAGCCCTACCCGCTCTTGTAGCTTTGTCCGCTATCGGCCACTTGTTGGGAGTCGCGTTTGTCGTCCGTAAGTGACTCTTCCGTTATCCCTATATACCTGTTGGGCTAAAGGTTGTTTATCCAGCGCGCTTGCTGCAAGAGTTAGCCAAAGACGGCATCACCCCATTTCCAGACATCATGATGCAGAACCGGCCATTCAAGACCCCGATCGCAGCACTTTTCGTGCATCTCTGCGTCACGATTCTATTTATCTGTGCTCCACCAGCAGGGGATGCTTTTTCATTCGTCGTTGGTCTTTCCTCGTATCCCATGTGCGCCCTGTTGACTGCCATTACGGTGGGTTTGGTAAAGATGCGATTCACCCCATCCGAGGGGTGGTCGTCGTCCTACACTGCGCCATGGCCGGTCATTGTGTTCTACTTAGCCGCCAATGTTGTAAGTGTACTTCGCTATCCTAGCTTTCATACGTTAATGCACTAACAGAGACGGGTTTGCAGTTCCTCTTGGTCATGCCGTTTGTTCCGCCCAATTCGAGCACATCGAGTATTCCTTACTGGCTTAGTCCGGTGGTAGCCCTGGGCATTCTTGGGCTGGGTGTGATATATTACCTGCTACGATTCGTTCTGTCGCCGTGGGTGTTTGGCTACAGTCTGCGTCCGGTGACCAAGGATTTAACTGACGGCTCGCGGGTCGTGCGCTATCGCATTCAAAGGGATAGTTGTCGCGAAGGGACTGTGGAAATATCTTACTAATCATGCTTTGAAGGAGGTGTTATTGGCATAGAACGGTTCAGATTAATCCCACGACATTGTCTCTAATATGATGGAGACTTTATATATAAACACTTGATATGTTGTAAGTTGAAAGCGCAGTTTCATTTGTGGTGCTGAAATAAGCATTATCATCGGGATCTAGCCTATGCTACCACCACCGCAACAACGGGGGGAAGAAAGAAAAAGAAAAAGAAAAAAGAAAAAAGTATTAGGAAAGAATGATCAAATAAGCAAATAAAGTATGGGAAAAGATGAAAAAAGATGGGAAATAAAAGAAGGATAAGGTAAAGAAATATTGTACCTTCAGGAGGCATTCAATTACATTTACACGACGAAAGATAAGTTGGGATTCTAGGCTTGGCATGGGGTTTCTGGAAATGAGGCAAGGTGATATCCCTTGTACGATATCCGGAAAAGGTTATACCTGAAATGTCACACTTTGACAACTACCCAGAAGGTATATAGCAAAGTAATCTGGTCGCTATCTGGATACCCTTCTTTGATATGATGTGGGATGTGCCAAAGGCGAGCGAAAAGCGACCTTTCCAAGAAAGTGCTAAACTACTTTTGCAGTATCATCATCAGACATCAACCTGTCCACCAGACGACGAAAGCTTTGTGTCGTATCCAACGTATCCTTGCTGTCTTCAGGCCACGCAGCAGATGGGTGCTTTACGAGCGCCTTGGCGACACACCAGAATTCGGCGGCATGGATAATGAATCCGGCTCGCTTGGCAGTACCTGGTTCAATCCCTTGGTACAATGAGTCCCAGTGGATCTTCCACCGATCCAATGCACGTTCCACCGGTTCAAAGACTCGGATGTCATTCATGAATGTGTGCAGCGCTAACAGGTCAAATAGTACACATTGTATCGCTAGAATAATGTAAGTAAGGATTTATAGATGTCTAGAAGTGGAGGTGGGGGGATTTTCCCTGCAGCCTACCGGAAAGAACAAGAAATGATCCGAATATAGTATTTGGAAAATATTCCCCGTGTTGAGGAGGTTCGCCTTCGGGCCTCATGAAGTCGTGGAGAACGGCCCGCAATCGTAATGGTACGTGGGGCTTCTGATCTTTCAATGATAGTTCCTCCCATTCAGTGGCGTTGTGAGCATGGAATAGGTCATCCCGTTGTGGTATTTCAAAAGCTATCTCATCGAGTCTCAGAAGGGTAGGATAGCGAAAGAAGATAACACAATAACAGTCCAGCAGGTAGATGCCCGCCATGACTCTGATACATAATGTAAGTCTAGGTGAACTAGGGAATTCGGGGTTTGATCTTTCGCCCACCTGACAAGACTCTCACGGAGAAGATATGTGTCCCAGTCTGAAACTCCAGGAATACAGTCATTCGTAATCTTATTCAACTCGAGCATACGAATGGCAGTAAAGATAGTTGGCATGCGTTGCAAGCGAATGCGTCGTATGCTATCAGGACTTTCCTTATAGGACTGCAGAATAACAACAAGCATTGCAGCTTGAAGGGTTTCCAGGGTGTCACCAAACTCAAGGGATTCACGATTTCCATCTAACAGCTTCTTAAAAGATGGTCCTTCAAATACTAAGTGTTCAGTGATATTTGAGTATGTTGCCAAATCATCTGAGCGGTAAGGTTTATTGTAAACTGCACCTAGTAGCACAATTGTGAGAACAAGAAGATTTGAGGCTTTGTTCAAGCTGAATGCGGCCGGAGTAATGTAGTGAGTGTGAAATGGATTGTCGAAGAATGCTCTAATAAATTTGGCGATGTTAAAAGGGGTGAATAGTTGCCTGGCCTTATCAATGCCCAGGGATTCCTGACCCAGTGCATCTTGTTGTTTAGAGCAAGCGATTATTCCTAGGAGCTCGGCGGAAATGATCTCAAGATCTGCATGATCAAACAAGTATGTCGCACTGGTTTGCGAGTCGCATGGTGGGTCCAGATTAGCAGTATATATGAAAGAGTGAAACATCCTTTCCCAAGGATCTATGAGGAAGCATGAATTTCCTGGCTGATGGTCCACAGCACAACAACCGACTTGCGGATCCGCACCCGTACATTGAGACAGCAGGCGGAGACTCTCGTATTTCGATTCACTCTCTACATTTGTATAATGTAGAAGAAACGGTATTGACAACTTTGCGGGGCGATGGCATGGCTCCCCTTCCGTTGACGGATTGATATCTTCCGGTAATTGACGAGTTATGGCTTGGCTAGCCTCGGGGAATCTGGGTGACTGCTCGTGCGTGCGGCTGAACGAGCAATTCAGACCCTTTTGTAAGCAGGATTCGCAAGGAACCTCTCCGTCACAGAATACTCGCGCTGTAGCGCAGGCGTTACAGGACTTTCGCTTTCTCCCTGGCTTTCCTTGAGTGGGAGGTTGGTAATCTCCCTTGGGCCCGCATCGTTGAAGATGGCGACGTAGAACGTCTCTGGTGGTCAGAAGTAAGTCAAAGCTAGTAATCCACTGATACTCTAAAATCAAAAATTACCTTCTGATATAGGCACCACCACAAACTGGGCAGATTTGCTTTTCTGATGGTCCGTCTGGTTGTGATTAGATACCGGGATGGATGCAGGGCCGGCGTCGCTTACGACTCGCTTCATGTCGACGCAGGTGGCTTTTGGTGGAGAAGACTTTCTGGCATACAGTACACCTCACAAAACCCCTTTCATGAGTACTTCGCGTACTCGACGAATTTCTGTGTGGCACTGGTGGATTCTTTGACGGCATAATACAATAAGTGCATGAAGCGGCGAAGTGAATTTTTGCGGAGGTTCGGCGGGAAGGATTGCAGCTAGAGTGGGGGTGGTGGCGAAAGGCCAGGTGAGAACACTCATTCAATCAAACCTGAATATGCTCCGACCATGCTGTTATCTGATTCAACTTCACAGCTGTTGAGATTGGGAAACCCCTCGCGCGTATCTAAGGAGCTTTCGTGCGTTATGAGCGCAAAAATAGTGGGGATACAATGACTGTACTCATTCCGCTGTGCCGAGTAGTCGGGAAATCCCACATGCTAGTCGGGAAATGATCCACATCAGTGTATAAGCCCTCAGGGGGCTCAGGGACCAGGAGAAATATGTTCGAGACCCCGTCAGTAGCAACTATCGAAGACATCATGAACTATATATCGAGATTTGGCTCATCATTAAATATCAGCAATGGTCCGTTGTTCCTCGCAATTTGGGAGACTTACTGACTCAACAGGGGCTTTATCCCAATGCCTCCGATCGCGTTTGCGCCCGACTTTTGTGACGCCTTCTGGATTTTGCTTTTACTCTCGCCGTGACTTCTCTTCGAGAAATATTAAGGTGGCTGCCGATTCACAGCAAGATCAGGGGAGCGATCCATCAACTTCTACGGCTCTTACAGCCGAGAAACGACCTATGAACATGGCCGAGCACGTCCTGTAAGCAGTCCGACTTGCTCGTCACCCCAAAAAACACTGCTCTGACTTTCCAAAGTACTACATTCGATCAAATAGTCAACTGGGCCCGTCAAGGGTCTCTGTGGCCTCTGAGCTTTGGTCTAGCGTGTTGTGCGATCGAAATGATGCACGTTTCAATGCCCCGATACGACCAAGATCGCCTCGGTATCATCTTTCGAGCCTCTCCTCGACAGTCCGATGTGATGATTGTGGCGGGGACTGTGACAAACAAGATGGCCCCGGCTCTGAGGCAGTGCTATGATCAGATGCCTGACCCAAGATGGGTCATTAGCATGGGTAGCTGTGCTAATGGCGGGGGGTATTACCATTATAGCTATAGTATTGTTCGGGGAGTGGATCGCATTGTTCCCGTGGACGTTTATATCCCTGGCTGCCCTCCCACAGCGGAGGCAACTCTCTATGGGGTATTCCAACTACAGAAGAAGATAAAAAGGACTCGGGTTACGCGGATGTGGTATCGACGGTGATTGCTGCGGCTAGGTAAATTGTTATCCTATGCCTATCTTAGCCGGCACTTTCGTGTGTATTTGCGCGTTTCGAACTGCATGTTGGATATGTCAGAGGAGTTCGGTCTGGAATCTAACATTAGTATCTTACGTATCCCAAGTGAGATGTCTGTCAGAAGCGGGGTCCCCCCTCCTGCAATTGACGTGTTAATCACAGTAATCAAGTATGGTGGTTATACCTATCATTCGATTTGTTACTGGTTTCTTCTCCTTGACGCGCTGACTCGAGATGTCTCGCGTCATGCAGTAGTGCTGCTGGGAGTGCCGAGTCTGGAAGAAACCGATTGGTGGAAAACACGACGAAGAGTTTCGGGACCACACAAACAAGCAACATACAGTCAACATTTAGCCCGTGTGTTCATGTAAGACGACGAAGCTAGCTTCTACTAATGCAATGTGGCTTATCACACGTGTCCAAAGCATGGTCATACGGATGGGCGCCGTACATTGGCTAAACTCGTGGTTGTGGAAGCAAACCCGCGATTGGCCAATAAGTGCCATCGACGATATAGTAATTTTTGCTACGCCGTCACGTCTTATAATGAGCGTGTGTGCGGAGGCCAGCACTATTTAATATAGTGCACTTCGGCTTCTCTAGCCGTGTTCGATGGCTACCCCGCAACATGAGCACGGGGATCGTGGTCCATCACCGGAGACAAGCTTCGCCCTTGGCTGCCTAAGCTTTTCATATTCAACGGGTAGTCCGGATGAAACGAGACGCCTCGGACATAAGCAGTATTATGTGGACGGCAGCCTCTCCGACAACAAGCTGACCAGGTCGTATGTGAATATGGTGAAGACCAACGAATATAAAAGGCAAGCAATGTCCCGTATAAGTGGAAATCAGAATCACCTCAGTTCTCTTCTGGCCCTGTCGCGGCGTCAACGACTCTGAAATTATGGCTATTATTGTAACCGTCGCAGCATTAGCTGCAATTCTCGTTCAACTGGTTGCAGCATCTCCCCTCATGGATACCCTCCTGCAGATTCCCGACTTATCTACCTACGCCGAGGTGTACAACCTGACCGGCGGTATTGTAGAGATCAATCCATTGTTTCTCAAACGCTATAACTACGACGAAGACAAACGTAACTACACATTCCTTGCTCCCACTAACAATGTAAGATTTTCATCCACCCTGTCAGCCTATTGCAGAAAGACATTTGACCAGTCAAACACATAGGCATGGGCCAAGATTCCCAACGCTATCTTTGATATCCTTATGACCCAACAAGCCTACCCCTTAACCGAGGCCCTCCTGCGCACACACATCATCGAGGCTGGTCTCACGGCTTCCGACCTTGTCAAGGTATCTGAAAGTGAGGGTGCAGGAGGAATATCTACCTCACTCCAGGTGTCCAATACTACCGAGCAATACCACAACGGGGTTCTGACCAAAACAGTCCAGGGATATTATATTGACTCCGTCACTTCCTCGAATGGCACTGTACAAATCGGCGATCAATCTGCCATTGTGATGGCAAATATTGTTGCAGATAATGGCCTGATCCATGCGATTGACCAGGTTATTGACCCGTTCCTAATCTATGGCGGTGGGCCTAGCAATCAGACAATAGCCCCAACCAGTGAGACAACAGATCTGACCATTGGAGAGGTACTAAAGAGTGATTCGCGCCTTGTAAACTCTTCGAAGATTCTACTTGAGAACTCCCCAGATACGTTGCGTCGGTTGTCGAAACAGACAGGCAGTATGCAGTTTTTCGTGGCCCCACAAAATGAGGCCTACGACTTGATGCCTACGATCCTTCCCATATTCCGTAAGTTCTCTCATATCGCGAAACCACAGAGCGATTGGCTAACTTCAAGTCGAACAGATACTCTCGTTGCTCCATACAAAAGCCCATTTAATACTCTAATGTGGCAATATGGCTGGCTTGACAGTGATGGTGATACCTTTGCGGGTCTAAATTTCAGCAGTCCGGTCACAGTAGTCAGTGACATAACAGGGCTTAATATTACTGTGACCCAAGAGGAGAGTGCTATTTTCATCATGAATGCAGGTCTCGTCACTCAAGTGAAGGCATCCAATGGGTATCTGTGGATTGTGGATCGGTGGTTAGATCCCCTGTATCAAGCCTTTGGTCCCATCGACCGATTTGGCACACCAGAATGGCCGTGAGGTTGGCGTTTCAATTTGCTCTTGTCGGAGGTGTCTCATAATCGCTAGCCGAAAGATGTATTAGTTTACAATGCTACATCTATTAAGCATGACATATGTTTAGTTCCGAGTAAAAGAATTTATTTCTGGGATTTTTTTTTTTTTTTTTTTTTTGGTATTGTACCCTTTAGAAGCGACTACTTTCCTTAGCATCAGAAGCATTGACAGTCCAAACCACAAGCGCAGCTACGGAAACCGGAGATCACGGCACGTCCCTTTCGCCCACCTCATGCGGCATTTTTGGATGCGAATGGTACCCCGAAAGCCTGAGTGAATCTAACAATTCGGTAGATTCCCAATGTTTCGATTTCCATAATTCACCAACGGCGAGACATGGACGGCATTTCCGTGCCTGGGGGAGAGCTTCGGTTTAAATTTTTCATCGAGCAAAATTGGGGTCTTCGTGGCTCAATCATAGGGGCTAGATGATATCCACTGTTGCCTCAGAGTATGCGCCTATCCTCCGGGACTGTTCTCTTCAAACTCGCCGATTCAACGCCAATCGTCGGCCTTGAATACATTATCACCCTTGTAGCCACCTATCCGTGAAATATCCCGTCACAAACGCAAATACTCCCTTATGAAGAATATCGATAACCTGCTCATTAACAGGCCAGGTCCTATAGCCAGTTAGCGTCCCAGCTCAAAAAGGTACTCCATATGGTGTGACAAATCCGGCTTACCAAGGAAGCGCCCCAACACCCGTAACATTCTCCAATGTTTGATCGATCATAAGCCGTATGGCAACAAACATAAAATCCGCGAATGGCCCACGAACACCGTATGCGCTCATAAATGCTCTAATTATTCCCGCAGCCGCTCCCTGTCCATAGTGCATCGCCATGTTCAATCCGAAACGCTCGGAATCGGGGCGAACGGGTAGTCGGAGAAGGCGCTCCAGAGTGTGACCCGGAACATATGAATTTGGTCGGCCGGTGAAGTATTGCTCAATCTTTTCTCCGAGTGTCATTCTGCAAAGTGGTCAAAGTGGTCAGGCTATTGGTCGCTCTTTGGGATAAGGTGGTTATCGGACTTACGCAGCGACGCCAAGCAGTCCCGCTCCGCAGCCGTAGATGATGCAGCTCCCTAGTGAGGACGGTCGGGGCGGCTGCTCGGGAAGGGTGGTGCGACGGGACATGTTGGATGCTTGATTTAGTGATAGGGTGTTGATTGGTATGTGGCTGGGGCTATGAAGCTGAAGTTGGTGAGGGAGGAAGATGATAGCTAATATAGCGAACCGCGGGTTTAACTGTATGGCGTAGGGATGACGCATGTGAGCTTATCCAGCAAGTAACAGCCAACCCCCCAATGACCTCCCTTGAACGAACATCAAGCATCGGGATAATTTATTAGTGGGCGCATTAGTATTTTTCATGCTTTTCCTCGTACGGATTATAGTGTATTGGGGAGGTGTTATAGCGACACTTAAGAACCTAGGGGATCTTATAGGTGGACGTTTTCACAACTCCAAACACGCCATCTAAAATGATGTCCATACTACACAGCGATTTGAAGGAGAAAATTTTGAGTAATCACTGAACGATAGGAGGATAGTCTGGGCAATCATGAAGTGCAGGGGCTTTGTTTTCTATTAGCCGCACTATATATCCCGTTGACAACTTATATATATCTCACACGCAGCGCCCCCCAATCAACCAAGACTTCAACACCGCTGATAATCGAACTCGCAGGAACCGCTCGTCAGAAATACCAGCAAACCTATTCAGCAAGGGGGTTCCTTCTGGCACATAACTGGTTTCCAGCTCTCTTCCTTATCCCGTGCTATATATGCGAAGATTTGGTAGGCACGGAAGCCAAGGGGGCAAATTTGTAGAATTAGCCAAGGATAACATGAACGTTTCAATCGAGCATAGTCCATTATTATCCTAATTGTAGAAATACCTGGTACATACGACCACAGGGTGTGGAAAACAGGGCTTCCCGTCCGCTCAGCCGTACTTAAGCCACACGCCGGGAGGTTAGTAGTTGGGTGGGTGACCACCAGCGAATCCCTTCTGTTGTATGTTTTTTTGATTTTGTTCTTTTTTATCTTTCACAATTTTCATAGAATTTATGATAGATAAATAAATATATTTGCGGAATACGCAGCCGAGAGGGTTGATTCCTGACAGGTGCTCATCGTGGGGACAATTGGTCCTACCGTTTACTTATTAAACTTGGCGGATGCGTCAGCACATAAATAGGGCCCCTGATAGGGAATTGGATGAGCTATTCAAAAGTATTGACAATTGTGATCGCGGAGAGTGATCAAGAATGACAACAAGTTCTTCACAAATCCGGCCCTGCACAATTTAGACATGATTTCGAGGTAGATAGATAGCACTTGTCCTCAATAGAATAGAAGGGCTTTCCGACCATGCTCTCTCATCAGGCTAACATCATCAGCCCAATGTGAGGAAGTACCCTGTGACCGAATATCTTATCTTTCATCCTCAACCACGTAAGGTCCTTGCAAAACCTGAGCATTTCTGGTGATGACCCGACGATCTCCAATCCATTCGACCTTGAAGATAGCACTAGCCCACTACATCAGCACCATGGATTCAATAACAAGCGGAGCATTTCTCAACTTACTGGACCTTCCCTCCATACATCTTCCCGTCATCCTTGGACACAACGCGTCCCTTCAGCGCGAAGCCTATCGTGCCTCCACGTCCCTCTTCATCGTTGACATCAGGCGTGGCAACGGCTTCGTGAAATTCGAAATCTAGGAAGGTGTAGCGAGTGCGCCACTCTTGAACAAATTTCTTGAACCCCTCTAGGTCCAGTCGCTCCGAGTTCCATCTATTGCGGAAGAAGGCCATTACGACATTAGATAATCGGTAACTCCATTCTTTTCTCTGGGGTTTATTTGTGCAGGCGCAATGTTGAGATATGGGGTATAGAGGTCGTGTGGAGCGAGATATGTGAGAGCGATTGCTTACTCAAACAACGCATCAGAACTGTAGTTGTCATCTACTAAGGTCATGGCCTCTTCGTCGGAGGGGACCTCGTAGATCAATCTTGACAAATGCCTGATTTAGCAACAATACGATGGAAAAGGGGTGCGTGAATGAAGATCATACCGTTGAATGCGTTGAACGAAGAACAGCAAAGGGATCTTCACCTCTCCCTCCATGGGAGTGGCGGTCGTTTTGGGAATGGGAAACAACATCGCTGCGGTGAGGATGATAAGACCTTTTGTTTTAGAATGTCTTGATTTCGGGTAGAATGACATTAACTCAGTCCGATTGCTTGTGCGATTTATATGTTGTTGTTCTTCGAGCCGAGCAGGGAATCGCGTTGATGCTATACGAAGATGACTATGATGATATCACAGTACACTGTCTTGGCAAGAACCATGAAAGAAGTCCTTGGTTGAGCTTAGTGTACGATCTGCGTAGTGTCAGTCGTGGATGAAATTTCTCGTATCGAATGACAGACCACTTCAATTCGTCCACTAAAATTCAAAACTGTCTTGTGCAGCCTAGTAGGCTATTCTAGCCATGTGTGACCATATTGTACCGCATCCTGCGTGAGCCGAGTCGAAAATAGAAGGTTGTATCTAGATGAGGAAGCTGGGTGCTGCAATATCATAGGTTGTCGATTGCATTATGCGAAAATCACAAGCATTCGTTACCTGACTGATACTCCTACTTGTTGTGCGAAGTCCAGCCTACCGTGTTTCACAGTCTCTGAAGGCTGGAGCCTATTATTCCGAATTAGATTCGCGTATAGGAAATTCTTCAATTTCAGAAGCCTCATCGGCGCTAAACCTAACGTTCAATGCGCCAGCATCGTTGAAGAGACAGGTTCGGTGATGAATTTAAGTCTGACATTTTGACTATCTATAATTCGCTGTCATTAGCTCCAAGCTCCAAGCTACAACACCTCTGAAGTAGTACTATTATCAACCAAGGCGTGTACGTGGTCTCAATTCAAGGCTATATGCTTGTAGAAAAGCCTGGATAGACTGACTTAGTCAGGGTCGAACTACATCATGGCTGGTTTGCACATCCAGAGCAATGATCCGTAGATAGTTTAAGCCTTTTTCCCCCGAGCAGCTTACATTGCTTCTGAACAGCTTTCGAGATAATGCTGTATATGATTCCCAGTTTATCCATGAAACAGGATACCCATTACTCCGAGGTAGCACACAGAGCCAATCTGGGTTCGGCGGCCGATTCTTTGAACACGGCCCTGTCCCCTCGCCAACGACGCTTGTATCATTTCTTTCATTAGCTACAAATCAAAGTTTCTCAATGCCAGTCAAAGTCATTGTCTCAGGCAACCATTATTCTCGATTCTACTTAGCGTGGGCTAGTATACACATGAGAGAAAATTTTGTGATTGTCTTAGCACTTGACCGTTCGGCTGATTTTTGTCACTTGGCAAAACGTCCTTGTCAGCAACTAGGTCAGCTCCATACGAATCTCTTAATACTGCAAGGCGGCTAATCACATCGGCAAGCAAACCTAGAAAGTTTGGAACCCTGAAGAATCACAACCAGATTCGCAGTTCTCATCTCCCCTTTCCTGTCAACGCACCGACCGAACATATTCTCATCCCGCAGACAATTAATTAGCAAACACGTCGTCCCCGGTCCGATGAAGGAGATCACCCAAGCGAAGCGAGGAGGAACCACCGGAATGCTCCACCGCGTGGCTCGACGCTCGACCATGCTCCACGGAGCTCGAGAGCTATGACCGCCAACATCACAAATAGGCGATCAATTCATCCAACAATAGAATTAGGTCCCCGGAAGCCGGTCATAGGGGTCATCCGGTACTTCGCTGAGGAGCTGGGTCGAGCTCGAGGGCACAAAAGAGAGACTTGGCAGACAAAAGAGTTAACATGGCGGGTTTCGAGATCAAATGATAATTGATGGTGATGTTTGTGGGTCAAGCCGGAAAGACGTTGCCTGCAACTCACCCTACGCAAGATTATCATTCCCTTTCATT